GCCGACCCCTTTGAGGTCGACAAGGACCATCGGCCTGATGTGGACGAACACATCACACACGGCATGTATTCCTCATCGCCACCGGGTCGCGGCCGCGGTCGACGACGGGGGACGGGCGGGACGATCAAGCCTGTAGCGAGAGCGAGCGATGCTTGTTTCAGAAGCTGAGCCTATTCGTACGGTACAATCGTCCACACATCGACGACGACTCGGGCACCCACATCCCGCCGCGAGCCACCAGGCGGGTGCAAGGAGATGCCGTCGAGAGCACCGTCAGATCGTAAGCAACCCTCCACCCGATGGGGCCGGCGTATCTGTTGGGGAGAGCCTACTGCGTCAAGCCGGGACGGCGAGTCATTTTCCTCCATCCACTCGGCGGCCCCCCGCCTCGTTGACTCGAAAGGCGCTCACTCATCGGGCCTTGAGGGTGTGAGTGAGTGTGAGCGAGTCGGCGCCCGCCTGCTGCAGGTGTAAGATGACTTCTGTAATTACGGTGGAAATGAATCGGACAAGGCCGCCTCCTGTCAAGGCGCACGGGTACCTGAGCTGAGCGACCACCTTGCAGCAAATGTAACCTTCCATACTGGGCGAGCATCTCGTGCAGTCAACTCCCCGGGCCCCCTACCCGAGCCCAGGTTCAACTCGCTGGCGCCAAGGGCAACGGCGCCCTTGTCAGACGGGACCAGCGCTCAGATCGCCCCTCGGTCGGACCGCACACTGAGGACAGGACGCGTGGTGATCAAGACAGGCTCGACGGCAACGTGTCTGCCTGCGGGATTTGGGACCACGGACAAGGTGGGGGCAGAGACGAGGGCCGTCGGGCCATGAAACCGACCTCACGTCCGCCGTCATTCGTCGCTATATTTGCGGTCGACAAGGGCCCGATTTGGTCGACGACGAGCGCGCTGCGTGGATGGCTGATGCAGCCAGTCGCGTGGACGTGGAAACGACGGGGCAGGCCAAGAAAAGGCCGAGGGGGCGTGTGACACCCGAGGCGACCAGTCAGAGAACGGGTGTCGTTAGCGCCCGACAAAACACCAGGGGCCCTGACTTGAGGCACTGCGCCAGGCCTGTTTCACCTTAAGAGGCCTATCCGCCGGCCAGCGCCAGCCATGGTGCCTGCATGCTCGCCTCTTTGCATGCAGCATCGTACATACATACTGTACATACTTCGGGCGCAAGAACGAGCTGGCGGCGTCTTGCTGTTTAGAAGCCAAAGCGGGCGCCGCCATGACGCGCCCCTTTCGCGTCCGGCTCAGTAACACAGCTGCCGCCACTCGCAGAGGCGAACAAGTAAGTACTGTAGACAGCCTGCCATGACCTCCACCAGAGAGAGGCCCACGGCAGCTGACAGGCTCCGAATCGAGGCCAGAGTGGAAGCATTTCCGACTACGAATATAGAACAGCGTGGGATGCCCTGCCTGCCCGGGAGTAGGAACCAAATGTCGGTCGTCTTGGCGCCGGAACCAAGGCAACAGCTTTTACCAACTTTGGGCCGAAACGCAAGCGCCGTGTCCCGCGTCAAGTTTCTAAATATTGTAGCTCCCCGAAGAAACGAGGGTCGGGAAGACAGAAAATAAGGTGCATGTAGAAACTCTATGTGTGTACTAACGCACAGCCTCGCTCCTCTTTCGAGTTTGGCGTTTTGCACGGACGGGCAGGGCACTCGCATAGGGCACAGACTCGCCGAGCAAACCATCGAATTCCAGAATTGGCCAAGCTCTCAGCGTCTTCATTCTTGTTACTAAACGTGCAAGACTGTGCATGTGTATTTGCTTGAGTAGCACCTTGTTGCTCGATACTTGGTATAAACCACAGCAAGGCCGGACGGAATAGAACCGTCGTCCTAAGCCTTGGGCTATGACCGCGTGCTCGCTCATCGTTGACCACTTTTGCGTTACTCGGGATGGGGGGTCCAAGCTCGTGGCTTCTCGCCCGGGCGAGTATCTTGCAGAGGGAGCAAGAAAAGGGGTTTCCATGGGCTGTGCCACAATTAATCAGGTCTCATTCTGGTCGTTGCTGTCGGGACACGACAGCAACGAGGGACATTGGGCCCGGCGTCGAAATTGACATGGCGTTCTGACACGAGGGTCGAGTCTTCTTCTTTCCTTCTTTTCCTTCGGGAAAAGAGACAGGGTGGTATTGGATCGTCTGTCGGCGCGCGTGAGGCTGATCTAAATTGTTTCCCGTCAGCTAATTGTTGCAGAATTGCAATCTCGCCGCCCCGCCTCGTAACTGCGGCCCCACAGGCAGTCGTCGAAACGCCGTGGTCGCCCAGCACGGTCGCCAGCCTGGTACGTACTGGCTTTCGGGCTTGGGGAGATGGGCCCGCAGGGTAGCTATCCCAGTTTCCACCTGCCGCTGCCCTAGGCCAGCCGTGGGCGACTCATGTCGTCTGGGGTCTCCCTTGCACGACATGAGTGCGGCAGCGTGCGGCCCGCCTCGATGATGCTGTCTCGTGTGTTCGTATGTACGGTATTCGGGCATGCGAATGTGACTGCCCGCTGTCTATGATGCCGACGTTGGCCGGTTTCCCCTGCTCGCCACGAACAGACAAGAGTCCAAAGGAGCATGATCTGGCCAGTCTGCCCGTTAGCCGCCCCAAGGGCAGGAGGCAGCATGTACGCTTTCTCGTGCGCGCCAATGTTTCCTTTGGTCCAATGCTGTCGTCGTCTGCGTGCAAAGGAGGGGGGCGTGTGGATAGAACCCAGCTGGCCACCGAAGGGAGCCGAGCGCGCGATATGGCCTCCCGGCATGACCGACGGGTTGACAATGGCAACGGCATCTCGTCGTTTGTTCCTATTGCAGCTAGAGGAGCAGCAGAAGGCCGCGGGTCTCTGTGTGCCTGCAAAAGGCTGCGTGTGCACAGAATGGCTGATGGAAGTGAGTGCCGAAGCCGCGTGGTGATGGATGGTGCAAGGCAGAAAGCACAGTACTAGGCTGTACCCTGCCGCATATGCAGGTACCAAGCGTTAGGCGGGCGTGCCATTCGAGGTCGGACGGCCGTGGGCGAGGCACTCGGAGCTCTAGGCGCAGGTACAGAAAGCGGAGCAAAGGTGACGGCAAGGTACCTCACCCTGGCTGCATTACGCGAGTACATTGCTAGCATAAGGCTGTGCAGTGACATGTGGACATGTGTCGTGATAGGTAGCAAGGCCAGAAGGGAAATGCAAAACCCGTTTCCTGTGGCTTGACCGTTGTCGGCTACCCATCTGCAAAACCGGCGCACGAGAGACACGCGTCGTCAACAAAGCTGGGAAGGTCAAAGTAGAGAGCGAGAGGCATGGATAGAAGGCATTGAGTCCCCCCCGCTGCCCACCCAGTGTCTGCTCTCCCCACCAGGCCCCAGAATTGCGCACACGGCCGAGGACAATGAGGCCGAGGGCGCCCCTTGGCGACGAAATCAAATACATCAAATAAATAACTTAAAAAAACACCCTTGCCCTAAGTTGTACATAGATACACCGCAAGACAACAAGATTGTGTTAGTTATGGGCCACAGTACATTGACATACGTGCACACAATCTGCTCGCTGGAGGTAGCCCTCCTCTCCGCTATATCGTCCGCTCGCCGCCTGCATGAACTGGCCAAGCTCCGTGCTCGGCTCCACTCTTGTTGATGAGCACCGAGCGCGCACCTCGAAGATGGAGAGACGGGACTGGGGCATCTGCCCGGCCTTTCTCCTGACCCGAGGTGTACTGTACCTGGGCGGGGCGAGGGCGCTCATGCTGCTTACCTGAGCAGATGCGTCGCACAGGGAGAGGCGTTGCGCTGGCCGGATGCTCAGGGTCTCCCGCCCCAATCGCCAGCGCTCTGCCAATCGCCAGTCAGGGAATAGCCCAGCGCATTGTGGTGGTGGGCGAGGGGACGAGGCCACTGCTCCAGTCTTGCCCCCACACCACTTGTCGCGACCCAGTGGTACGACCTGCCGACGCCGAGCAAGGTACACACCACAAGTACACACACCACAAGTACCTACCCGATCCGTCCTCCTCCCTTCCCTTCCCTTTTTCGCTCTTTCGCATGTACCGGGTGCATGTACCTGCGCAGGTACCTGCCTGCCCGTCCCCTCTCCCCTGCTTCCCTCTCTCCTCTACCGCCGCTATACCTCAGGCTGCTATTCCCTCTCGCTCCCACGTTAGCATCCCATCCCGACCGAGCACAGGCGCCTCCCGCTTTCTCTCATTAAACCCCAGCAGGCCCCCAAACCCCCATCCCTCAATCCTGAATTTATTTCTCTCTGTTTCCTCCCATTGCTCCTGTCCCTCCCTCCTCCCCTCTTTCCCTCCCCAGAGCCTCACGTTGCTCTCCATTTGGTGTTTCCTTTCCTTCGCGAGACACGTCGTCCTTCGCAACCGCCCCCCCCCTTGTCGTCGCTCGCCCTTCGTCCTGCACGAAATCCAGCTGGCTGTTTTGACGAGCCGCCAACACCCTCGCGCTCGGTGACTTCGTGTTCGACTTTTTCTTCTTCGCTTGTACCTTTCTTCATCCATCCTTACTCGCTACCTTTTAATCCGCTTCGGTCCGGCCAAGCCTTGCGCTGCGCCAATTTCAACGCTCCTCGACCGATCCGTCGTCAACCAACGCCTCGACGGCCGAGAAAAAAATAACCGCCCCGACTCCATCCCGGCGCTCGCTTGACGCAGTCGTGGGATCTTGCCTCGCCCCGTGCGACTGTTGGGCCTTTGTCTTCTATCCGGGCTGGTCTCGAATACACTCGTCACGTTCTACTCGCACTCGGGCAGCGCCCCCCCCCCCACGATTCCTTCAACGCTCTGGCTGACGCGCCGCACCCGCCTCTTGCCGCCCACCTGCCAAGATCGTTCCGCTCTTCTTTCGGCAGAGGAGCCGATCAGGAGACAAGCCAACCAGACATTCGCAACCCTCCGCGCACGCTGAGCTTTCGCCGCCCCCCGTTCACCCAACCCGCTCCCCGGGGCTACGCCTCTTGTGCCACCGTCGGCGGACGAAGCGCACCATGTATCCACCACACGGAGCAATGGCGCCCCAGAAGCCCGAGACCTTCATGTTGAGCACCGAAGCGCAGCAGGCGTTGCCGCACGATGCGCAGGTCGCGCTCCAGCAGGTCGACAATCGTGAGTAATGCCGCGGCGCGCCACTGTTTGTGCAAACTGCGTGCTGACTTCGGGCCCAGTCAAATACTTCCTCATCTCTGCACCTGTCGATTGGCAACCAGATCAGTACATCCGCCGATTTCTCTTACCGACAGGCGAATACGTCTCTTGCGTCCTATGGTAGGTGATGGCCAGCCATGCTCCTGAGCGCGCGGGCCCGAGTGACTGACAATGGCGTTAGGAACAACCTCTTCCACATTTCGGGCACCGACATTGTGCGATGTCTCTCCTTCAGATTTCAGGCCTTTGGCCGACCGGTCAAGAACTCCAAGAAGTTCGAGGAGGGCATCTTTTCCGATCTGCGAAATCTCAAGTCTGGCACGGACGCCTCGCTCGAGGAGCCCAAAAGCGCCTTCCTCGACTTCCTCTACAAGAACAACTGCATTCGAACCCAGAAGAAGCAAAAAGTCTTCTACTGGTACAGCGTGCCTCACGACCGCCTCTTCCTGGACGCGCTGGAACGTGACCTGAAGCGAGAAAAGATGGGCCAGGAGGCCACCACCGTCGCCGTCAGCGAGCCCGCCATGTCGTTCCAGTACGACTCGTCTCAGTCGCTGTACGAGCAGCTGACCAAGACGCAACAAGCCAACTCGTCCTCCTTCAGCGCGCAGCAACCCTCCTTCTCCCAGGGCCCGACCACGTCCCCCGTCATGAGGAACATGGACCCGATGCCCCCCCCAAACATGATGCCGCAGCCAATGGCCCCTTTGGGCGAGGGGATGGACGGCATGGTATCGTACGACTCGATGCCCATGACGTCCGCCGTGACCCAGCAGGTCCAGCCGGTCAAGAGGGATCCTGACTTCGCTCGCCCCCAGTACAACCAAAACGGCGTCCCGATGACCCACGGTCACCAGCGCCACGCCTCGATGCCCGCCTACGGCCTCGAGTACTCGCCCGCCCCGTCCTTTGTCTCGTCGCAGTATGAGGACTACAGCAACCGCGGCATCTCGTTTGAGCCCATCACCCCTCCCCAGCAAGCCCTGGGCATGGCCGGCGAGCCTGCCTACATTGCAAACGAGGAGACTGGCCTCTACTCGGCCATTCCGGACCATGTGCCGGGCATGAACGGCCTCAACGGAGTGGCGCAGCTCCCTCCATCTAACATGGCCGGATCCCAGTTCTCTCGGCCCTACGGTACCAACAACGTCTACTCTGTCATCGAGGGCTCGCCGACGTACAAGCAGAGAAGAAGGCGCTCGTCAATTCCTCCATCCATGTCAGCAATGCCCGGCCCCCCGGTTGCCAACGCGGCCGCCCACCGACCTTCGGACCTCAGGAGGTCTGTGTCAGCCTCAGTGGGCCCGGTCCCTGAAGGAGACGAGTCGGCGGATAACTCGCCGCCCGGCCTGTCGTACAGCGCCTCTGGTGCGTCTTTGGCCAGCCAGCCGCATAAGGATGTCGTGGACATGTCTCGACACGGCACTCCGCTCTCCACCGTGGACGGCAGCCCAGCGCTCAACCCCATGTCCCTTCAACATGACTACTCGCAAATGCCTTCCGAGGACTACTCGGGCGACGGTTCCCTCAAGGGCCACCGTCGGACCGTGTCCAACCCCAACGGCGTGGCCCGTAGGGCTCGCTCGGCCACTGTCATGGAACTTGGCCCCTACCCTCACAAGTCTCACTCGTGTCCCATTCCAACTTGCGGCCGTCTGTTCAAGCGGTTAGAGCACCTGAAGCGGTAAGTGATTCGACACGCTCTGTCGTTTACATGCATCGGCAACGGTCTGACTGAGAAAACATAGACACGTCAGGACACACACTCAAGAAAAGCCTTACATCTGCCCACATTGCAGCAAGGCTTTCTCCAGATCGGACAATCTTGCCCAGTACGTCTTGCCACACCCCCTGGCATGCCATTCTTGCCCAAAACTTGACACGTCGGACATCAGTTCATGCTAACATGCTTATTCCGCAGGCACAAGCGTACCCACAGCCGCGAGGACGGTGGAGAGAGCTCGATGAACATGTCGGCCGAAGAGGAGGAGGAGCTATCCGGTGAGGACCAGCTTGGCTCTCTTGAGGAAGCATCTCCGAGTTCGGAAATGGCCTATATGCCCGGCTCCATGAACCCGGGAGCCGACCCGGCCATGGGGTCGAATGGCCCGACACCGACAGGCAACATGGGCCAGAACCAAGGCTTCAACAGCTTGCAGACGCTGAGCATGCCCATGACAATCAGCCAGCCGGCCGCCATTAACGGCGTGATGTAACGACATTTACTTGAGGGGCGTTTGTGTCCCCTGCGTCCTGTATTTTCCCTTTGCTGCGACATTCAGGAAATCTGGGGCTCGCACATCGAGCGGATTTCGAATTTGCGTTTCACGTTGACTTGGCACTTTTGCTCTCTTTTGTCTTGATCATCCTGATGTCACCATGGCGTTTTTTTTACTACCGGAGCGTCTGCACTACAGCAAACAAGAAAAGGGGAGCAACCCTGCGGACGGGAGCTCGAGCGGATGATTTGGGAGACGACGATATTGTCGTTCAGTCATCGAGCAAGACAAACGAGATCTGGCGTCGGGCAGGGACGGGACACGTTGCATCTGTACATTTACCTGCTTTGAGAGTTAAAGGGCGATCAATGCCGGGCGAAGAATACCAGAGGATGGACTTTCCTCCAGGATTCGTGTGGCTGCAGCGTGACGACGAAACCGAGAATCATATCATAGAAGAGTTTACTTTGTCCGCAGCTTGGACTCACTCGCAACTTCTGGCTCTTGGTTGTAACGTGTTGAGCATGCCGTACAGTTGGGATCGAGTCTGGCCATGTGCCCAGCTTGCCGAGCCATTGTAGCCTTTTGCATGCAATCGAAATGTTCATCTCCCCCTCGCTCCCCTTCTTCCAAAGGTGTCTCGGCCTCCCTCGATGCTCTTGACGTCGCGCTCGCTCAAGCGCAGCTCGGCGCCCTTGAGCCTGCCGACGCCCGGGCGGTCTACGGCCCCATCTCTCGCGCGATTCCTCCTCATCTTCTTGCCCAATTCTCTCTCGAGAATGACGCCATTCTCCCGGGCCTCGCGCCTGCGCTTGGCCTCGCGGCTGGCGGCGGCGCCGACGATGCCCTTGCGCATGTTCATGGGCATCTTGTCCTGCTTGAGGATGGAGATGTTGGAGCCGAGGGCCTGGATGCGCAGGTCGGTGGCCTTGTGCCGGGTGCGGCCGGCGGTGAAGGACTTTGGCGTCGCGGTGGTGGTGGCGCTGGGGGTGGAGACGGACGGGTGGGGGGAGAGGAGGTGCGATTCGGCGAGGAGGCGGCGGAGTTCGAGGTCTTGGGCGAGGAGGGAGGGGGCGTCTTCGGGGATGGTGGAGGAGGAGGAGGAGGGTGTCGATGTGCCGCCGGTGGTTGTGGCTTCGGCTTTGGCGGCTTGGTCGGGGGGGCGCGAGGACTGCGAGTTGTCGTTGATTTAGCGCCTTTACTTTGGATTGGGAGTAGGAGGGAGGTAGGCAGTGAAGGGAAGCGGTACCATGAAGGCCTTGAACTCGCGCTTGGACATTGCTGCCGACGGTGAGGAAGGCGTCTGCGATACCGAGTAGTCCACCACCTCGACGGCCGGAGCGTGTTCTATCGCGCCTGTTTCTGTCTATCAGCAAAAGCGCCAGCTCGCCCGGCGCCGGGCCATCTGACCTTGGTCATCGTCGGAAGCATCATCGTCGTCGTCGTCGTCGTCGGACAGGCCTCCCCACTCCGACTCTGCATCCTCGCCGCCATCACTGTCGCCAACGCCGCCGCCGCCGTCTCGAGGTCTATGGAGCGGCGTTTGCAGCCGCAGAGGCTCAAAGCGCGACTCAAAGTGTCGGCGAAAGACGTCTTGGATATCTTGCTGCTCCGACGCGGGCGGCTCGTTGGGAGGGGGGCGGGCTTTGCGCTTGCCGAGGACGGCCATGTGCGGCGGTTGCGTGGGGGGGGGGGGGGGCGAGGGAGAACTGTCCAAGGCGCTGGGGGATAGTACCCTTGTTCGTCTTCTGGTGCGGCGTGGTGTGCTTTTGCTCGCGGGGAGGCAGAGGTTTGTCGGGCTGGTGTCTGGGAATTTGATGGTGGGACGCTCTTTTTTCCCCCGGGTACGTCGTAGTTTATCCATGGATCGCGATTCGTCGCTCACCGCGTCCCACTAGGCGGCCTGGATTATAGCGGGCCGACAGCTGCAGTAGGTACGTACAATGCTTATTACAGGCTACCGGTACAACAAACAGCACGCCTCGTCCTCTACGGAGTAATTACGGAGTGATTACCTATGTACCAGTAGAGTACCCAGTGGCTGCCTTGTACCGTGGAATAACCGTCCGCTGCAGCCTCTGGCGTCCTCTACGCTTCTCCGGATCTGAGGTTCCTTTTCTCGACACTGTGCTTTGTGTGACGCTCATCAACAAGTGTATGCCACATGGTACAGTACGCGATGTTTTGCAACACATCTCATCCACATGCCACTGTACAGCCACGGTAGATCTACCCAGCGACAGGGTTCTTCACCATCTCCGAGGCCTGTGTGTTCGAACACCGTCGAGGTCCGACTCCTCCCTCCTGTGGAGTTGGGCTTGAAACCGGCAAGCTAGGCGGTGCTGTCTCACCAAAGCCAACGCAGCAACCAACACGAAACGCCGCCATGGCGAGTGCGCTGCCGTCTATACCGACGTCTCCAGGAATAAGCAGCATGTGTAGGCAGAAGCGCAAGTCTCCCAGGCCACGGGTGCTGCCTGTGGAAGCTGGTGCGAAACAGTTCGGGCACTAAAATGTTTCCCCACGAAGCAATCTGCCAACCCAATCGGAAGGCCTTCGTCGTCGGCAGAGTTGGCGTTTTGAAACCAGCTTTGGCAAGGGTAGTTTATAAAACCTCTCCACTTCCTTCTTTCTTCGCTCGCCTGAGATTGCCTGGTAATGGCTTTCTCTGTGCTGCTCTAGCTGTCGTTGATCGACTGTTGAAGATTCCCTCTGTTATGCCCATTTTTTGTTTAATAGCCTTTTTTTCCCGGGCTGGAGGCCTGTACTCTTTTTCTTCTTCTTCTTCTTCTTCTTCTTCCAATGGTTTTGGCAACGGCAAGCCGGGACATTAGCTTGTTCCTGGCTGTCCTTTCTATATCCGCCCTTGGCTGTGGAGCACAAGAGCAATACCATACGAAGCCACGCGATGCTTCCCATTCGGAGCCGGGGTCCTGGAGTCTCCACGATCTCGTCACGGCGGATACGGTGCAGACAATCCTGGCGGACAAGCACCTTCGCAAGACGTACCGTGCCGTCGTGAGCGTGTGCGTCGACACGTCAAGAAGCCTGGCGGACCAGCTCGAGGTGCCGGAGCTGTCGACAATCTCCGACAGCCTCGACAGCCATCTCCGACAGTTCAATTCACAGGCAGACGACACAAGCCGGCTCCACCTCAGGAAACGGCGGTCAAGAACGGACGCCAGTTCAAAGACCAAGAGAGCTGGTTTGCTGAGCAAGCTGCTGCCCGGGGGCGGAAAGGGGAATGACAACGACGCCGCGGCGGGTGGCCAGGCACAGGGGAATGATACTGCCGACGCAGGCGGTGGTGGCATCCTCGGTGGCCTGCTGTCTGGCGGCGGCGGCGGCAAGGACGGACCCATCGGGGGGATCATTTCTCAGGCTGCCAGCGGCCTCATAGGCCGGGTGATTAACATGACGGGCCCCGCGGTTGCCGGGGCCGGCTTTTTCGGCGGCGTCGGGGCCGGCGAGGGCGCAGCCCAGGGCCTGAACCTGGCGTCGGCCAACACGAGCATGGACACGGGCGCGACGGTGGCGCAGGAGAACGGCATGAAGAGCTCCGGGCTCAACTCGGCCATCGAAAGCGCCACCATGGGGCTCACGGCGACGGCTCTCCGCGCGCTGCGCCAAGGCAACGCCCTGCAGCTGCCGGACCTTGGGCCCGTGGCCGAGGCCCTAGGCGGCGGCCTGGGCAACGGGGCGGCGGCGGGTCTCAAGCTGACGACGGACAACCGCGGGGCTCCTGGCAACGGCTCCGGCCTCGACGGGTTCGCGAGCAGCTTTGCCTTTGGCCTCAGCAAGTCCCTGACCGAAAGCGCCAACACATCCAACCTCTTCGGCCAGATGGGTGGCCAGAACGGAACCGGCATGACCAACATGCTCCTCAAGCTCGCCGGTCCCGCCGCGTCCGGCCTCGGCAAGGGCCTCGGCTCCGGCGCCGCGGTGGGGCTCGGTCTGCAGCCCGACGACGGGCCGGCAGCGACGGCCAAGACGACTGCGGCCGACGGCAGCGTCGACGTGAGCGGCATCGCGCAAGACTTTGCTTCGGGCCTGACGTCGCGATTCCTCGCCAACGGAACTGCCACCAACGCCATCAAGGGCTTGACGAGCGGCGGCGGCGGCGGCGGCGGCGGCGTTGGAGCCAACCTGGACGTCGGGCGCATCGCCAACGGCCTCGCGAGGGGACTGCTGGCCGGCGCCGGCGACGGGGCCGAGGCCCTGGGTGGCGTCAACGCCATCATCAGCGGAAAGGCAAAGTTGCAGACGACGCCTGCTCCCGATACGCAGGTGACCTTTAACGACTCGGTCGGGGGCGCCGCGACGGGCTTTGGGCAGGGCCTGGGCAACTCGGCCGTCATCACGGCGCAGAAGCTGCTATCTCGCGGCGCCGACATGTCCGACGGGGCCGCCAAGTCGAAGCGCAGCACCTCCTCGGCCGTCTCTTCCCACCCGGCCTCGCGAGTCGCCGCGAGGCAAATCTCCAACGGCATAAACGTCAACATATCCAGTGTGCTGAGCGCCGCGGCCATATCCAGCGTGATACAGAAGGTAGTGGACGTCTTGACATGCGAGGGTGTCGGAGGCTTGGCCCTTGTCGCTCAGGGGCTGAGCCAGAGCGGCACGATATCTGCCGGCGGCTTCGACCCGAGTACCACCAACTTCATCAAGGACTTGATTCCGCAGGGCCTCATCTCCTTCACCAAAGATGGCAACACGTATGACATTGATGGGAAGCAGCTCTCGAAAGCCCTTGACGGGTCTCTTTCCGAGGCTGCCAACGGACTCTCCATCAACGGCTTCGGCTTCAGCCGCTTCGTCGGCATCTTGATCGCGCACAGTAAGTATAGCCACAGCTCGTCTTATCAGTCTTCAGTAGTTTCATTCCGCGACTGACAGAACATCTCCAGTCTTCTTCGCCGTCGTCGTGTTCGCCGTCCTTTTGCCTCTTGTTTTGACGTTCGACAGCTCCCGCAACATCCTGCTGCTGTTACAGGTAGAGCACGTTCTTCCAGCTTGGACTCTCAAAGCCACAAAGATCATCTGGATCGCCGGCATCGCGCCCTCCCTCATCATTATCCTCGTCTTGGGCGTGGTGCCAGGGCCCCGGGGAGCGCACTTCCGGACGGCGCACGGGGTAAGCAGTCCAGGCCCGATACAAAAAGAAATTCGACCAACTAACTTGCCTGGATAAGGTCCTTGGCCTCATTACTCTGCTCGTCACCGTGGCCGCCGTCTCCCTTTACATCTTGTCCACCAGAGGCACACCCTTGGCAAGCATCAAGAAGATCCCCATACCCGTCATCTCGCAGGGGTGCAACCAGCTTCTCCTGGTGCTCACCCTGCCCACACTCACGACGGGTTTCTCCGATCTCAGCCTCATCACGCTGTGCTTGACGCGCGTAGTGCCGCTTGAGCTGGCCGTCTCGCTGGGCCTCGCGTTGGGCTCCGTGCTGGTCCTTGCACAAGCTATCACCGGTCTCGAGCTCTTTCTCCAGTGGCGGGCGGGAAAGCGAAAGAGCCGGGCAGGCCAAAGCCAGGGTTCTTTAGATCCGGAAATGAAGAGAGATCTGTCAAAGTAGAGGTATCTTCAAAACTGCCCAAAAAAAAAGCAGTATTTCTCCCAAACGCCAGAATTGGCCATTATGCAATGCAGCGGTAGCTCGTCACGCCCGTGCAGCCATGCGCGCCCTCCTGGCCTCGTCGTCGCGTAGGGCCTCGCTCCTCGCCAGGAAATCCTGGCGCGCGTTGTAGGACCCCTTGGACTTGCTGGCCAGCTCCAGCTCGTCCTTGATGCCCTCCTTGTCCACGTATCCGGCCCAGTCCATCCGGCTCTTCTCCACCGTGTTGAGCTTCTTGGCCTGGGCCTCCCTGGCAGCCATCATCCTCGCCGTCACCCCAAGGTTGAGATCTGTGCGCCCCGGGCCGGCGTCGACGACGGGCTCAAAGGCCGACCGGAAGGCCTTCTTGGTCGCCCTTTTCGCGGGCGAAGTGCTCGCGGGGCCGTCCTTGTCCTGCGTCGCGAGGTAGAGTCTGGCCTCGGCCGAGTCTCGGGCGACGACCTTTTCCTCTGTGTGGACGCGGCCGGCAAAGTTGTAGGTGCGCTTGATGCGAATTGTGTTTGATGTGTCGTCGGTGCCGACGGAGGGGGGGAGCGGCTGGCCGACTAGCGCATCGTCTGCGAGCCCGATGGAGTCATTGACATGGTTTGAGTCGTCGTCGCCGGTGTTGGAGTGGACTGGTTTCCCTGAAATCATTTGCTCCCAGAGCGCATCCACGTCGACCGTCACCGGTCCTTTGCTCGCGGCAGGAGTGCGCTCTGCCTTTCTGAGATTCCGCGTCAGCATCGCCGCAAGGGCCCGAGTAGAGGAGAGGAAGGCGTACTCTTCGGCGCGCTGTCTCCTTGTCTTAACTAAGCCGCCCTCGCCGCCATTGTTGGCGTCGTCAAAGGCCTCGCCCCTGTTGTTTGCCCTTTTGCGGCGCTTGCGACCCTTTTGTATGATGGCCTCGTCGCCAGAGTTGTCGTATCCTCGGTCTGCCTCGTGGTCTTGTCGCCGTTTTTTGGTGACGGAACCGGCTACCTCTGGGTCCGACTCGGATGCCGACTCTGCCTGCTCCGGGGCGTCGTCGGGGGCAAAGTCGGAGTCGTCGGAGGAAGCGCCCTGATGGTCATCGTGGTCGAAGGGGGGATCCAGCGGCATCTTGCGCTCATCTGCTGGGTTGGTGGCTAAATTGCAGCAGAGGGGCGGCGCATTTCCTCGCAGGCGGCAAGTGGTGGGAAGTCTCGGTGGAGAAGCGAAGAGCCAATCATTGAGCCGGGCTCACCCACTAGCTCAGCCCGTACAGTGTAGATTTCCCCTTTCGGAATAAGGCATGGACGACACACCGCCGGCTTTCATCCTTTCTCCGAAAGCAAGCTATATTTCCGAAATAGACTCGTCATGTTAACGTACAAGGCTTGCGGAAGCGCTCACCTCGAGCACGAGGATGGGGAGAGAGCCCAGCAGATTGCGGCCTAGGAGACGGCGCTCGGCGGAGATATCCCTGGGCATCATCGGCCATGCTTCGAGATCCGTGCAAAGCTGGGGCGGGCAGCCTCTAACTAATAATACATAAACTCCATCAGATGCATGGCATCTGCCCAATTCTCCACAAAACTCGTCAAGGGAGGCTGCCGGCCCCCATGTGAATAATCTCGTACACGGGGCCAGAACCTCTCTTAGCAAAGGAAAACCTTGCTGGTGCGGCCGACACGCTGCCCAATTTTACCTTGCAATAATAAACACTGGACATGTTTCTCAGCTGCATCCTTCTTGGTGGTACGGACACCTACATGCCCTGATGCCTGCCGGGCCGCACGCGATGCACCTGTTTGTCGAAGGGACGAAAGGAAGGGAAGCAGGAAGCCTGGGGTTTGTTGAAAGGGACCCGAGTCGCCGCGGGGTGGCAAACGACGAGAGCATCTGAGAGGTCAAGGGAGAAGAGACGGCGTGTCCAACACACCATATCTGCCGTAGAAACCTTGTCTGGCACTGTGACACACGCCGCTTGCTGCCGACTCCATTGCGCGAGTCACCTTGGCTCTCGTGCAACGAGGCGTCAGTCAGCAAGCGGCAGACCGTCTGCAGACCGTCTGCTGGCCAGGTACTCCGTACTGCACATGTGTAGGTATTCATGCATACCGAGTACGGATACGGAGCAGAGGGAAGATGCTCAGAAAAGGAAAATATCACGAGCCGAAGCGCACGAGAAGGAAAAAAGAAGAGTTTCAGCCCCTTCCACCTTCCAGGTCCTTTTCCCGTGTGAGACACAATTACATGAGGCGGTGTCCCCGCTGACCCTGTCGAGTGACGCCAGGCCACTCACGCCAATCAACGGCGCAACCAGTCCACGCAATAAGTTAAATTTCCTCTCCCCCCTCCACCCCATCCTTTTTCCTCCTTACTCGCCTCTCCCCCCTCTCGCGGCCATGGCGAGCGACGACGATTTCGAGATCGAGGTGCCCGATCTGGCCGACGACGATCCCATGAGGGCCTTCTTGCCTGCCGCCTTTGGCAAGCAATCCAAGGAGGCCAACATCGCTGCCCAGATCGATCGGAGTCGGAGGACGGTGGACAGGACGTCGTCGGCAGCGCCCCCGCCGGCCAAAGCGGGACAAGACGGCGGGCACGACTCCCCACACAACTCGCCGTCGAGCGACAGCGACGACTCTGACGACAATGGAGACGAATACCCCGTCTCTCACCAACTGGTCCTCAAGACGCACAGCCGAGCCGTCGCCACAGCCTCCTTGGACCCCGCTGGAGGCAGGCTGGCCACGGCGTCGCTCGACTGCAACATCAATCTCTACGACTTCGCCTCCATGACCCCGACAACGTTGCGAGCCTTTAGGACCGTCGACCCCCATTCATCCAAGCGCTCGGCCGCCGACTCCGAGTCGCACCCCGTCCATCACGTCGAGTTCAACCCCCTCTCCGGCAGCGTCTTCCTCTGCGTGTCTGCCCACCCGCAGCCCAGGGTCATGTCGCGCGACGGCGACATCCTGACCGTCTTCGTCAAGGGCGACATGTACCTCCGGGACATGCACAACACCAAGGGGCACATATCGGAAATCACCACAGGCACCTGGCACCCCACGGACAAGAGTCTTTGCGTTACGGCCGGCACCGACAGCACGCTGCGCATCTGGGACGTCAACAATAAGCGTTCCCAAAAGGAGGTGGTTGTCTTCAAGTCCAAGGCGACCGGTTCCGCTGGGCGATCCAAGATGACGGCCGTCGCGTGGAAAGGCGCCCCGTCGGGCGGGAGCAGCATCCTCGTCAGCGCCGCGCTGGATGGAACGCTCCTCATGTACGGCGGCAACGGGCCCTTTAGGAGGCCTGCCGGCGAAATCCTCGACGCGCACAAGCCTCAGACGTGGACGGGAGGCATCGACATCTCCTCTGACGGCCGCATGGTCGTCACCAGAGGCGGCGACGATCTCATCAAGCTGTGGGATACGCGCAAGTTCACCAAGCCCCTCGTCAGCGTGACGCATCCTTCCACCTCGGATCACCATCCAACCAGCAACATCCGCTACTCGCCCAACTCTACCAGTATCATCACTGGCTCCGCCACAGGCCACCTTCACATCCTCAACCCGGGCAACCTGCGGCCCGAACACGTCACGCTGATTACAGCGGGGTCGCCCCTCATCACCGTCGACTGGCACCCCAAGATCAACCAAATCGTCACTGGCTCGGCCAACGCCAAAACACATGTCCTGTACAGTCCGGCCCTGTCGACTCGAGGAGCGGTCGATGTCATGTCTCGCGCACCCAAGAAGCGTCACATTGACGACAATCCCGAACATACAATGGACCAGTCGGTGGGTATTTCGGGAGACTCCATCGTGACCCCCGGCGCCTTGCTCGGCTCTCGAAAGGCGGGCGTCACGGGCACGGGCAGGTCCAAGGATCCGAGGCGGCCTCAAGTGCCGCAGCAGACGCCCTTTCAGAAGACGCAGCCGGACGAGAAGCTCGTGGCCGAGAACATACCCCTGGCCCGCATGCTGCACGAGGACCCGCGCGAGGCCCTGTTGAAGTACGCCAACCAGGCACAGAGCGACCCCATGTTTACCAAGGCCTGGAGCAAGACGCAGCCCACGACGCAGTATGCGGAGCTTAGCGATGACGAGGACCAAGGGCCGGACAAGAAGAAGACGAAGAGATGATGGTGCACCAGAGCACTACGGTTTCTGTCCAAGACCAGGGCCTGGAAAAGCCGCGCTACGTTTTCAACGGCCCAGAATTACAGGTATTTTACCAAAACAAAACACGCAACGGGAGCCGATGCACTCTGACCTTGTAGCGGACGACACACCAGCAGAGCACAGCTCACTCGTAGCAAAGCGATGGGCAATCGTCACGGCGGAGAGGAGACGGTTGACCGTGAGGGCTGCGTGCCGGTAGAGGGCCAAGATCGTAGACGGCCGTAGGAACACGGCTCTAACAAGCGAGGCGTGGTGCCAGGGAGGGTAGGTCACGTGCCAAGAGAGATTACCTAATGGCAATGCTGCTTTTGGCTGAGGCGCAGCCAGGATTCTGCCTGCGCAGGGGCCGTGCTGAGATGTACCGTGGCAGTCGGCCCCAAGACCGCACCCGCCATCACGCTGAATCTTGTCAGTTGTGTCTTCACCATTCCCATCATCAAGCAGCGAGAGAGCGCGCGCCGCATCCCAAAAATTCGCCAGGTCCCCTCGCAAACCATCGGCAGCCATCTCCAATCCTCGCAAACTTGGCGTTGCACGCGTTTTGCACGCCGCCCACCCCCGAGGCATCCACCCCGACGCGCCCGCGTCGCCCGTTTCCGCACATTTTTCAATCCCTCCCTCCCTCTTCTCTCCCTCCCCTTGGGTGCTACGTCCTGCCTGGTCCGCACCCCCACGCCGCCGCATCAGCACCTTTGGCGCAGCCGACACCTCGCCTTTGTGAACGTTGCTTGACGCGCCTGTCCGACGTGTGCTGCGCCTGCGTCCCGCCGCCAACGACGACGACGTTTTGCCGCCCACGCTCTTGACGCGAGCCCTTGCACTTGGTCGTTTTTTCGGACGCTCGTTTTTCCCTTTGCCAACCCGCGACGACCGAGTCCCCATCGCGAGATAGGACAACGCCCCCTCGAACCCCCTCGACATGCACCGTACATAACCCGACTCTGGTGGACTTGAATTTTCCTTGGGGAACTCTCCCGTACATTGGGCTGAAGCAACTTAAAAACATAATCTTCCCGAGCCCATCATGGCGTCGGTGCAAGTTTCGCCTGCGGTGCAGCACCCAGGCGCCCCCATGCCCGCCGGCGCGACCAAGCAGCAAGCTGAAGAGGTTTTCAAGGTAAGTCTCGCGACGACGCCGGGCCTGTCCAACCTACCCCCACCCCCTTTGGCCTTTGCGCCCCAGGGCTCTGTCCACAAGGTCCAGTCAGGCTTACACTTGGCCCAGAAATTGAAGCAAATGAAGGAACAAGGCGTCCCCTCGACGGACCCGGAATACATCAAGGCCTCTCACTTCTTGATGAACTTTCAGCAGCAACACAACATGCGCAGAAGCCAGCAGCAATATCTGCTTCAGCAGCAGCAGCATCTTCAGCAACAGCAACACCCCCAACAGCAGCACCAGCAGCCGCAGCCGCAACAGCCACACATGCCCAGTGCCTCCAACGGCGCCATCAATGGCGCGCAACCCGGACGGCCCCAGCCGGGCACTCCGCAAATGGGGCAGTCACTCAACCCCCCCCCTCCAGGCTCCTCCGCCCCGGGACAGAGCTCGGCGGCAACCTCTGGGCTGGCATCCGGGCCTGGCTCGTCGTCAAGCCAATTCAGCCAGCAACAGCTTGCTCTCCTTCGACAGCAAATCCACGCATTCAAGCTCCTGGGCAAGAATGCAGGCGTGTCAGTCCAACTCCAGCAGGCCATCTTCAACCAGCGCCAACGTCGACAAGCAGTCGCCGGCGACTCTGCCCAATCTCTCTCAGCAAAGTCCAGCCAGCCCGGCCAGGATGCGCCCAAGTCCGCATCAGTTGGCCCTGAGCCGGCCGTCCAGGAAGACTCTCCCTCGCTGCCGAAAACCCACACGTACAAGACGGTCAAGTCCCCGTACGGCACCAGCATGATTCGGTCCTCGATCAAGTATCTGGACCATGCCCAGCGCAAGAACCGATGGTTCATTCCCGGCGTCTTCCCCACAGGCATCGACTTCGATCACCTCCGCTACGAGAGGGAGGTCGTCGTCTTCAATCGCATGGCCCAGCGGTATGCGGAGCTCAAGAACCTGCCCGCCAATATCGCTCACTGGGATGCTACCAATGAGACTCTCGAGGCGGATGACTCGCTGAAACTCAAGGCCATCATCGAGATGAAGAGTCTTGGTCTCTATGCCAAGCAGCGCGCTCTTCGCGACAAGATTGGCCGCCAGATGATGCACTATGATAACCTCGCCATGACTACCAACCGCTCGCTATATCGTCGCATGAAGAAGCAAAACGTCCGCGAGGCACGCATCACGGAGAAGTTGGAGAAGCAGCAGCGCGACGCCCGTGAAAATCGTGAGAAGAAGAAGCACGTCGACTTTCTCCGCGCCATTTGCCATCATCGTGCCGAGATCCACGAGGCGGCCAACACTCAGCGGACCAAGTCGCACAAGCTCAGCCGTCTCATGTATGCCCAGCACTTCAACATCGAAAAGGAGGAGCAGAAGCGCATCGAGAGAACTGCCAAGCAACGTCTGCAGGCCCTCAAGGCCAACGACGAGGAAGCGTACCTCAAGCTCCTCGACCAGGCCAAGGACACCCGCATTACCCATCTGCTCAAGCAGACGGACGGCTTCCTGCACCAGCTCGCCTCGTCCGTCAAGGCCCAGCAGCGGCAGGCGGCTGAGACCTATGGGGAGGACCCGGACAACCTCCCCGAGGAGGAGAGCGAGGAAGACGACGACAGCGGCAAGAAGATCGATTACTACGCAGTTGCCCATCGCATCCGCGAAAATGTCACCGAGCAGGCCAACATGCTCGTGGGTGGCTCTCTCAAGGAGTATCAGATCAAGGGTCTCCAGTGGATGATATCGCTCTACAACAACAACCTCAATGGTATCCTCGCCGACGAGATGGGTCTCGGCAAGACCATCCAGACCATCAGTCTGATCACGTACCTGATAGAGAGAAAGCACCAGACCGGGCCCTACCTCGTCATCGTGCCTCTGAGCACCCTCACCAACTGGAACCTTGAGTTTGAGAAATGGGCCCCGTCCGTCTCCCGGATCGTCTACAAGGGACCGCCCAACACACGGAAACAACATCAAGAGCGGATCCGCCAAGGCAGGTTCCAGGTGCTTCTGACAACTTATGAGTACATCATCAAGGACCGCCCGATCCTCAGCAAGATCAAGTGGTTCCACATGATCATCGACGAAGGCCATCGCATGAAGAACTCCAACTCCAAGCTCAGCGCGACCATTCAAACGTACTACGTCACCCGCTTTAGACTCATCCTCACCGGTACTCCTCTGCAGAACAACCTGTCGGAGCTGTGGGCCATGCTCAACTTTGTGTTGCCCAACATTTTCAAATCCGTCAAGACCTTTGACGAGTGGTTCAACACTCCGTTTGCCAACACGGGCGGGCAAGACAAGATGGAGCTCACAGAAGAAGAGCAGATTCTCGTCATCCGTCGACTGCACAAGGTCTTGCGGCCGTTCCTACTTCGTCGTCTGAAGAAGGACGTGGAGAAAGATCTGCCCGACAAGACGGAGAAGGTCATCAAGTGCAAGTTCTCTGCTCTGCAGTCGAGGCTATACAAGCAAATGGTCACGCACAACAAGCTTGTCGTTAGCGACGGCAAGGGCGGTAAGACAAACGCCCGCGGCCTGAGTAACATGATTATGCAGCTGCGCAAGCTGTGCAACCACCCGTTCGTCTTCGACGAGGTCGAGAATGTCATGAACCCCATGAGCATCAGCAACGACTTGCTGTGGAGAACAGCCGGCAAATTCGAGCTGCTGGATCGGATTCTTCCCAAGTACCAGGCCACCGGACATCGGGTGTTGATGTTCTTCCAGATGACGGCCATCATGGACATTATGGAAGACTATCTGCGGTACAGGAAGCTGGAGTATCTGCGTCTGGACGGTACGACCAAGTCAGACGAGCGGTCCGACCTGCTGCGCGAGTTCAACGCTCCTGATTCGAAATACTTCATGTTTCTGCTCTCCACTCGCGCCGGTGGTCTCGGTCTCAACCTGCAAACTGCCGACACGGTCATCATCTACGATTCAGACTGGAATCCCCACCAGGATCTCCAAGCACAGGATCGTGCCCATCGTATCGGCCAGAAGAATGAGGTGCGAATTCTCCGTCTGATCAGCTCAAACTCCGTGGAGGAGAAAATCCTGGAGCGAGCCAGATTCAAGCTGGATATGGACGGCAAAGTCATTCAGGCTGGTCGATTCGACAACAAATCCTCGGAAACTGATCGTGACGCCATGCTGCGAACCCTGCTGGAGACGGCCGACATGGCCGAATCCGGAGAGCAGGACGACATGGAGGATGAGGAGCTGAACATGATGCTTGCGCGAAGCGATGATGAGTTGGTCGTGTTCCAGAGGATGGACGAGGAGCGACAGCGGGAACCCGTCTATGGCTTAGCTTCGGGCGCCAAGGTTAAGCCGCGTCTGATGGGAGAAGAGGAGTTGCCCGACATTTACCTGAACGAGGGCAACCCTGTGGAGGAAGAGAATGAAGAGATTTCGCTGGGCCGTGGCGCTCGTGAACGCACCAAGGTGCGGTACGACGACGGCCTGACGGAAGAACAGTGGTTGATGGCCGTGGACGATGACGAGGACTCGCCAGAGGCCGCCGCGGCTCGCAAGATGGCCCGCAAGGACAGGCGGGAGAACAACAAGCTGAAGAAGATGGCCATCATGAACTCGATGGACAATTCGCCGGCAGGGAGTCGGGGCAGCACGGAAGAGGTTGAGACGCCGAAGAAACGCGGACGCAAACCGGGGAGCAAGAACGAGAAGCGCAAGGCGGAGGATGTCGACGAAGAGCCCCCGGCCAAGAAGCGGCGGGGTCCGCAGGGAAGGCCCAGCAAGGTCGGAGCCAGCGGTCTCGACTCGCGGCTTAGCCCTCAACAGCGGGAGACGCTCCAGAGGAGCTTGCGGACTCTGTACGACGCTCTGATGGGTCTCGAGGTGGACGACATCGAGCCCCCCGCCGAGGACGACGAGTCTGACGCCGGGAAGCGGCTCATCATCGGCCCCTTCATCAAGCTGCCACCGAAGCGCGAGTACGCCGACTACTACGTCATCATCCAGAACCCCATTTGCATGAACCAGATCCAGACTCGGATCAAGAAGGAGGAGTATACTTGCCTAGGCGACATGCGCAAGGACTTTGAACTCATGATTCGAAATTGCCAAACCTACAACGAGGACGGCAGCATCCTCTACCAGGATGCCAAGACGATGGAGGTTAGTGACCCCGGGATACATTTTGGTCGCCGAGACGAAGCCTTACTGACAATGAGCTGCAGGAGTTATTCAACAAGAAATGCCAGGAGGAGATGGACGCGCACCCGCAGCTGCATGAGCTGGAGGAGGGAAGCAGGGCCGACGGGCTCTCCGGGAGCGGAGGAACGCCCGGCGGAACGCGAATCAGGATCGTCTCGAGTGGAGCGCGTGAGGCGGCCAACGGGGCGCGGTCCACGGCGCAAAGCGACGAGGATTAAAACAGCCGCCGGATGTGAATAATCAGGGGCGAGCGGACAGACATGGACTCGTGACGACACGTTGACGAGGCGGGCTGGACTTGTTTTCTGCTTTTTTTGCTGTTTGATCACGCATCTATCTGGGGCGTTGGACAGGCAGGAAGGTTCTCAGGCGCAAACGCGCGCACACACTGACACGCGCACACATTTGTGCAACTCGTGGAGGCTCAGGGCAGGGAGCCCGTCGAAATACCAGGAAAAAGAAGCGATGACAGAGGACGAGATGCGCGAGGGCGAGGACGTGTCTAGAATATTAAGACGTGAAATGTACTCTATTAGACGCCGTGATGCAAGCACGGGGCTTTGCCGCTAGTTAGTAGACGGCCTCAATGGCCTTGCTAAAGTTGCTGCCAGCGCTGGCCAGGGTGACGGAGATCTGCTGCCGCAGGCAAGTATAGAAAAGCCTACTGTGTCAGCGGCGGTTGTTGGCCAACAATCACCTGATGAACGTGGCATGTGCATGACTCGAGTAACCAAGTAACCAAGTCCCCACAGTGCGAACATTAAGTAAGTACTCGGTAGCAACTTCGCCACCAGACAGCCTCTCGCCTCGCACATCACCAAGAGTCAAGACGAAGAAGAGGACAAAGACATGGGGGCGGTGCCACAGTCACGTTAAACCCGGAACAACTGCATCTCGCCCAAGCTACAGAAGAAATGAAAAAGACAGTCATCTTGACCTTTATCCACGGCTTCAAGGTGGGGTTTCCAAGCCGCTTCCTCCGTCCCCCGTTGGCCGCCGCCGTCGAACTTGGTTCTAGCTGACAGTAAATGAATATCAAGGGGGGCGAGTCGACGTTTGGAGATGAATACCAGTTCACGGAGCACTTGAGAGATATGGTGGCGCAGAGACTGCCAAAGGTCGACGTGCGTGTGCTGGTGTATCCCAAGTATGAGACGAGGGGGGATCTGGGAAGCTGCGTGAGCCGATTTCGAAGCTGGTTCGTCGGACCTCTCCCCCTTGGTCATTACCAGCGACTAGGTGGCGGATTCTAACGGGCCTGCAACAGGCTGGAGGACAAGGTCATCGACTTGGAGGTGGCCGCCGGCACGACTTCGCCGACAGTCGACCCGTCGGTGAGGACGGTCCTGGTGGGCCACTCGATGGGCGGCATCGTCGCGGCCGAAATGGTCATCGGGCTGGCGTCGGAGAAGCCCATCTACTCCGAGGACGGCATCGAGAAGACCGAGTCGCCCGCCTTCAACAGCCTCATGTTCCCCTACGTCCAGGGCGTCCTGGCCCTCGACACACCCTTTCTCGGCATCTCCCCCGGCGTCCTGGCCCACGGCGCAGAGGGCCACTACCAGAACGCCGCCGCGGCCGTGTCGCAGCTCAGCGGCCTCTCTAGCGTCCTCTGGGGCTCTCCGACCTCTTCCAACAACAAGAACAGGGCCAACGACGCCAGGATGGCTCTGCCGTCAAGCTCCCAAGCAGCAGCATCAACGACGACGTCGGGCGGTAACGGCTCACCGTGGGCACGCTGGGGCAGGATGGCCATGTACGCCGGGGCGGCCGGGGCCGTAGCGGCGGGCGGCGCGGCGGCGTGGGTCAACCGCGAGCAGCTGACGACGGGGTGGACGTGGGTGTCGTCGCACCTCGAGTTTGTCGGGTGCCTCGCGCGGCCCGAGCAGCTCAAGAAGCGCATGGAATGCATGGCGCAGCTGGGCGACGAGCTGGACGTCGGCTTCGCCAACCTCTACACGCGCCTCGGCCGCGCCGCGCCGGCCACGTATGTCAGCGTCGCCGGCACCGTCCTCGGCCACGAGCGCACCTTTTGCAACCTGCCCAAGAAGCTGCCGGCAGGGGAGTGGGCCGAGGCCGTCAACGACAAGGCGCAGGACGAGGCGTCGGCGCACATGAGTACGTCTGCCCCCTTTCTCCCTTTCCTTTTTGTTCGTCCCCCTCACGTCTCATGGGCGGAGCGAATTTCCCTTTGTTTGAGGGCTGACATGCGAGGACCACGTCGCAGACATGTTTGAGCCCAAGGAGAACCCTAGGTACGAAAAGCTGGCCCAGGACGCCGCAGGGCTGATTGAGAAATGGTTCCAAAATGACTGGTATTACGCCAGCTCTGAAGACGAAGCGCAGAAGGTGGAAGAAGTAAACGAACCGCACGAGGTAGAAGAAATCCCACCATCAGGGGCCTGACGCAATGGAAGAAAAAGGGAAAAAGAAACAAAACAGTTGCGACGATGACATTATATTAGATTTTATGAAGCGTATTATGTGATTACCCGTCTTTACAAATCGCTACATGGGAGCTTGAAACTTGTCCTAGCGCGAGCGAATTGACCCGCTTCGACAGCATTCATGGTATGACCTTTTCCTCGACTTTGGCTTCGGGGGAAAGGAAACCACCCGGCTTCGGAACTCGGCTGAACCGGCCTTGTTCTCCCCCGCTCGTCTGCAGCATGAGGCGCGGCTCGAGGGACAGCGTCATGACCGAGGCGACGACGCGAGGTGGGCATTGCAGCTGCCCTGCCACAAGCTATCGTCTAGCAGCTCAAGAAGAGGTGACGAGAGAAAGCAAAAAAGCAAATTTCCCTTTGCTCATCGGGTCGCCCTGTCGCCCTTTGCCTTCTTGGCGCGCATGATCTTTTTGCGCTGGGTCATCATGTGAGTGTAGAGGACGTAGGCACCTGGGCAGGGAGTCAGCAATTCATTGGCATAGTGAATAGGAAATAGGCCGGAACAAAGACAGAGAGGCTGACCAGGCACGTAAATGACAAGGATGGCGTATAGCAGATACTTCTCGAGGGGACTGCGCATGCCGGCCGGGTCTGCGGCCATGTAAATGAGGGAGCACTCGCTGAGGATGCCGACGGGGTAGAGGACGAAGAAGGTGTTGTAGCGCAGCCAGGTGAGGGCGGCGGGCTGCCAGCCGGACAGGGAGAGGGCAAAGTAGGAGTAGCGGATGACCTCTGTGACGGACCAGGCGACGAGCATGGACGAGTAGACTGGCGAAAAGGCGAGGAAGGGGAAGGAGTCGACGATGGCCCAGACGAGGAGGAAGCGCGACGAGACCTGCATGAGCGTGGTGAAGAGAGGTGCGCGGACGACGCCTGAGGCCGGCGTGGTTAGCAATGGACTCTTTTGCCTTTCATCTCTTGATATACACGACGTTCTAAGCCGAGAGAAGAGGAAGAGGCGCACCGAGCGTCGAGTGCAGAATCTCCATGGCGGCCATGGTCTGCGTCCACTTTGCCCATTGGCCGACGCCATCGTAGACAAACAAGGGCCCGGGCAGGGCGCACAAGGACACGGTGCGGGCGAGGACGACGGCCCAGGCAGCGGCCGAGGCGGCGTTGTAGAGGACGAGATAGGCCGTCTTGAGGGGCGAGGACGGCGCCTTGGAGGGCTGCTTGCTGGACGGGGAGGCCATTGGGTCTGGCGGCGCGACGGGCGCCAATTGAGCAGGTCTGCCTCGTGTATGGAAGAGAGGGGGCTGGGGGTGGGGGGGTTATGGGCGAGCCCGGGGCGGAAGGGCGAGGGGCGGGGGAGTTGTTGGAGTTGAGGGCATCGACAGGCATCGACACCAGTTGACAAGTCAAGTGGGGACTGGAGCTGGTATGGAGACGCGGGGGATGATTGGACCAATGGGGGCTAGTGCGGCCGAGGCCCGGAGCTTGGGACCGCCTACGAAAACAATTGACAATTGCTGGGTACGAGATTGGTTTTCCAGTTGAGAGAGAGGAATGGGCCATTTGTCTTTTCACAAGACTCCCGGCATTGTCAAGGGCACAAGTTCAAACAGGTCAAAACAGGTTGAAGAGTTGCGAGGTTTGTGCAGTGCAGTTAAGGTAAAGTGGAGGCCGGACTATTTAGAGGCCGGGGCCCGGGAGAGTTTCTTCTGGTGCAGAGGTGGAGGCGCAGAGGTGGAGGCGCAGAGGTGGAGGCGCAGCAGCTGCTGGCCAACGCGCGGCATCGATTGAATCGGCCAGAGATCGGATAGTCGGCAACGGACAAGCACAGCTCAAACACGCTAGTCGGCAACAGCTTGCCGGTTCTCAAGGACAATCAAGGAAGGATGCTCGACGGTCAACGCCACGACGATTCAATTCAAGCTTCGACGACGACGACATGCAGCTACCAGTCCTGGTTCAGCTGCTCTTCGGCCTGCTGCCGCGCGTGGTGCTTGGCCTTCTCGCTGTCAATGTAGTCGAGCCCCTTGGTCTCCACCTCGCGGTCGACAAAGGCCCCGATGAAGCCTGCCACGATCTCCTTGGCCTTGGCGTGGCTGTCCGGCTGGCCTGCACGTCCGTTGTCAGTCGAGCCGCCTGGCGAATGGTGGCCACGAAACTTGCCGTTTTTCGCTACGTGGTCCTCATACGCCTTGGCCGCCTCAAACGCGGCCGCACCGCCGAGGAGTTCGTGGGACCACTTGGCCTCGTGAGGGCGTTGCGTAACCACGTCGTGGGCCTCGGCCTGAGATGAATCATCTGTCGGCATCCAACGTCAGGTCCCGACAGCTAACAAGGACAAAGCCGGAGGCCTACCGTCGAACCAGCCCATGGTGAACGTCGAGTTGGTCAAGTGTGTGCGAGTGAGTGCTGTCAATGGATGGGCCCGAGATGTATTGGTGAGGGAGGCTCTTGTCAGTGTGATTCGGCTCAGAGGTAAAGGAGGATGGGGAGAATATATATAAGCTGCCGGACTGCATGCCAGAAAGCTCCCGCTCGCCATGGCCGGGAATATCGGCATCTTCTGCCGCCCGCTTAGGCTATGGCTGCAAGCTAAGCCTCCTGGCTGCGTCAGAGCTGAGGAGGTGGTCTCGAAGCTTAACCCGACCCAGCTGAGGGCGCCAGGCCTGAATCTCGGAAGAGGGGCCCTCCCAAGTGGCGGGCCGGCAGCATCTCGAGGCGCTCTGGCCTGTGAGGTGATGCAATGGACGCCAGGCAAGGCCTAGATCCCCCTTCCTCATGCAGAGTACGCCGTCATGCAGGCCTTGTCGTTGGCTGATTTCACACAATCTCAGGTCCCCATGGCCCCCGGACCAAGGACCGACGAAACACGGAACCAGGGTGGGTCCCGGGACGGTAACGGCTCCGCCCAGGGGCTTATCCAGGAGGAGACAATGGACGACGGGGCTCGGCACCCTCTCCAGACTTCTCGGCACGGAAACCAGGATGCTTCAACTGACACAGATATCCACCCGTGAGTGACCATCATACGGCTACATTGATTCACAGACACCATCGAGCCAGTCCGACTTGGTGGAGAGGGGAGACGAGCGCGGCTCCCGCGGTCAACAGTCAGGAGGCTCACGATGGGATGATCGACACGAAATTACCTCACATGTACACCGCTGTGCAATCTGTTCCACCTTGTCGGATCAGTACGTGGCCGTGAGTCTCTTAACGAGATATTCGCCGCTGTTGACGCCCCCGTACTTCTTGTCCTGCTCCGCCCCATACGTCCCGGGCAGGGTCTCGATGAAGTCCTTGAAGTTGGGGTTGCAAAAGTACCTGCCGTCTCTCTTGGTCAGCGCACCTCTTTGCCTCGACGGGCGGGGGGTCACAAGGGAGACGAGACGAACGCGATGCTGTACCGCGGCGGGTATTCCTTGCCCTCCTTGCGCGGCGGCTCCACGACGCGGTGAATGGTGCTTTTGATGGTGTCGTTGCTCCACCGGGCCAACAGATCGCCGGCGTTGATGACGACGGTGCCCTCGATGGGAGTCGCATCGACGAACTGGCCGTTGGGGCTCCTAACCTGCAGCCCGCCCCGGTTGTCCTGGAAGAGGAGCGTGACGGAGCCGTAGTCCTGCGTACGTTAGTCTTCGGCTGCTGCGCTGGCTCGGGGCCCACGGGACCTACGCTGTGTTCTCCGGCGCGGACCTGGCCAGGGTTGATTTTAAAGACGTCGGCCTTGACCTCGGGGTAGTGCAGCAGCCGGAGCGTGTTGTCGGCGTCGTCGATGAAGCCGTCAAAATAGCCCTCGTCGAGGCCCATGCCCAAGGCTATGGCTCTCATGACATCGCGGTGCATCTTCTGGCACCGGTCGAAAAAGTCGACCATGTCGGCCCTGAAGCCCCCGAGCTTGCCCTCCTCGGGCGGCCACGGATTGCTATGCGCCGGGTCCGAGTCGCGGCCAATCTCGAAGCTCTCCTTGAGGTCGGGCACCTCGCTGCGCATCTTCTCCACCTGGCTCAAGTCCTGCTCCTGCGTCACCTTTTCGCGGCCCGGCGACGAGTAGCCGCGGTTGGCCTCGGGCGTCGTCCAGCCGAGCTTGAGCTTGGCGTCGAGTGGCTGGTCGAAGAAGTCGGCCGAGCGGCTGAAGGTGTGGCGGAGCTTGTCGGCCGGCACCTCGTGGTTCTTGAGGTAGACGAAGCCGGCCGTCTGGAAGCCGTCGAGGATGGCCTTGGCCGTGGTGGCTCGCTCGTCGGCGGTTCCCTCGAGGAACTTTGAGAAGTCGATGAGCTGAACATGGGGGTTGGTCATGTCCGGGTTTCAAACCGGTCAGTCTGCTTATTGGATGGCGGGCTAGTCTTTTGAGGGAGGGGAAGATGGAGGGACTTGACGACTGCGTGGACTTACGGGGATGAAGAGGCCCTCCTTGCTCACGGCCGCGTCTGTCGCCATTTTGGAGAGATTGCTGATGATGTTCACGTGTATAAATGGGTGTTGACTCTGGTATGTCGACGTTTTTTTGTCTGTTTTATGTCACATACACTCTCTCCCTTACTCGGCCATACACGCTTCGAAAGGGAGGGGATCGGGGATGTGAGAATAATTTGGTGAATGAGGATGACTCCTTGCGGGGGTGAGGAGGAGGAGCAGCAGGAGGAGGAGGTGAAGAAGAGGAGGGGTTGGTTGTCGAAGGAATAGCTGCGCTCGTTACCTTATTCGGCCACCTACATTAGGCATATGTATCGTCTGGTCTCATGTGGTCGAACGCACTCGGCAGGCCGTCTACTGTACGAATGCAGAGACGGGGCAGCGACTACATAAGTTCGTACATGATTCAATACCTCGTACATGATGTTGCAATGCCGAGGTCCGTTTGCCAGATTTGGACGGCTCAAGCTCCTCCCGTCGAGGCATTTGCCGGAACTGGCCGCTGGTATCCTCCCGAGTCCACGATAAACCTCCCATGCACAGAAATCATGTTAGCCTAGGCTGCTGCAGGGAAAGAGGGATAATGTGTTGTGATCTTGAAAGGAGTAGAAGACGGTACGAGCTTCGAATGACTGTGACGCCCCAAGCTATGGGCCATATTAATTACCCTGTCGTTGCATCTTTCAAGTCGTTTCTGGCGTCCCCTTTGATTGTGTGCAAGGGGGATTGAATTCCCGGTGAAGCGCAGCATAAGCCATCCGTTCTTGAATAGGCATATTACGCGCCGTCTTCTCTATAACAACAAGGCCAGCAGAGTTTCTGCTGGGCAACAACCGTCAATCAACTAAGGGGCCCATGCGTAAGCAGAGTCCAGGGAGCCACACACACACACAGGGCACAGGGATAATCCATTCCTATGCATTGAGGCCAAGGGAAGTCACAACCTCGTATCAGGACCTCATCACCATCAGGGTAGGGCTATATTAGCTAGCAGCTATATCAGGGTCTAGGCGAGCTATCTGTACGTATAAAGCCCCTCCTGGGTCTCACGTAGCTCGAGGAGATGTTTGCATCGTTGTTGCATCAATTGTATAGCCCCTGATCACTCACTTCCACAGGCGCTCTCTAACGCCTGTTTGAGAGTTTCCTTTGCTACGCGTAGATGCAGCGAAGCTCAATGAAGAAAGAAGAATGATGGTTAAAAACGCCCTTGAGCTACATGTGACGCAGAAACTGACTCGCGAATCGCTACCCAGCACCACGAAGCTCGTCCATCAGGTCTCAGTCTGGCCGTCCTCGCTCCGGTCCCTGCAAGACCGACTCAGCCTCTCTGCATCTGCCCTGAGCCCCTCAACCTTGCCTAACAGGTCATGGATCTGGCCCTGTCGTCTTGCATGCTCGGCGGCGCTGGTCTGCGACCTTGGCAAGTCCTCGTGCCCGACAGCAGAGTCTACATCTGCCCTGAGGCGTTCCATGGCGTGGCCGACCATGCCCAGCAGGGCCTGCTTTGTCTGCTCGAGAGAGCTGTGGACGCTGTCGGATATCAACGCGCCAATCGTTGGGAAAAGGACATCGTCTGTGATGCGATCCTGGACGATCCGCCTTTGTCGCGCCGCCATCCCGGTCCCTGTTTGGATAAATTTCAGCCGCTCCAGCTCTCTCTGGGTCGGCGAGTGCTTACCGGACTGGCTGCTGGCGTGCCGATAGGTCGGCAGCATCTGGCCCACGATGTAGGACGTGTAGTTTGACTCTGTTGCACAACGGCGAGTGAGACTGGACATGCCAACCGTCAGTAAATCCAAGAAACGGGCGCCGGCAGCGAGAGTTCTTCGTACCTTATGTCTCGAGCAAAGCCTTCCCTTGCCATGTTTATCTTGAACCCCAAGTCGTTGATCCTAGATGCGATCCCGTCCTCGAGCAGACTACGAAACTCGGCGGGAGCCAATGCTAGATCCGGCAAGTCAGCCTTATCGTGCCTCAAAACAATCCCATAAGTGGACGACATCAAGGCTTCCCACATGTCAATGACGATTTCAGGTCATTCAAAAGACGCTTGATAGACTGGAGAGCGTCGCGGAACACGTCCCGGACTCCGTCTTGGACCAGAGACCACTGAAACTCCTGCTCCTGGCGCATTTTCCAGATGATTTGCGAGTTCCAGTCTTCACGAGGGCGGCCGGCCGTCGCATGATCGCCGTTTCTGCGGCACCAGGCGTTGAACTGGGCTGGGCGCAAGTCAGCAGACGAGACACAATCGGGTTCAGCCGAAGGCTTGGGCGTACACCGGTGCCACTGACGTGGGACACTGTTAGCTACCAGGCTCGGAAGATGAAAGATCTCTTTTGGCGCACCTTGTGCCATTTGAGGCCCTCGACTGCGGCCGCGTCTCTCCAGAAGGGGCTTCTGTGCACTTTGAACGAGTGTTGGACTTGGCCAGACTTAGTTGCGGAGGAAGAGCCCACTTAGCAGTGCAGATATTTGTTCTTCGAAGCAGCATAGGAAATCTCGGGCGAGTTTCTGGATTGCCTCGGCTGCGCTTTGCGCCTGTTCGTTTCAAATGTGAGCTGGGTCCAAGAGTCGAGCTGACGGAACCGACGACTTACAGTTTCATCCAGCCTTGCTTGAGCCGTCTCCTTCAACTCCCGTGACAAAGCTCGATGTTCGTGTTCTACCGACAAGCCCTTGAACTTCATCTCCAGAGAGTTGAGCAGACCAAAGAGCGAGGACTCGATGAAGTACCTGGCCTCTCGCAGTTGCGCATCGGCCGTGATTTGGTGACAGAACCTACGAATCTCCGGTACGCCGCTGACAGAAACGAGGTGAGCATTGCCCTTGGCAGAGTTCGTCTCGTACCATTTGTTCGACACGCAGAAGACGTCGAGTCTGCCGCCGGGGACTTTGCGGGCGTATGCGCTTCGCAGTCCCTCCTTGACATGGTCGTTGCGAGCTTGGATGAAGAGGATCTCTCGCCTATGGTGCCTCTTGGTTAACCCCCGCGTGTTCGCAGCATCACTGAGCAAGAAGCCTGCCTTTTCTTCAAGTCTTTCTTTCGAGCCTTGTCTCCGGCTTCCTTGGCCTCTGCAATATTTCTCTCAAGCTGCTCAATGACGGACGGATCCACCCGCTTCCCAGGACCGCAGAACTCCTGCCTGGCCCTGTCCATATTGATGTCCTGAACTGTTTAGCACAGTCTCGTGGGGGGACTGGTTCGAGCCTCACCTCAATTCTTGTGCAGACCACGGCGACGTTCATCGCCTTGGCCCCCGAGTCCTCCCATTCAAAGGGGACGTTGCGTGAAAGAGCCGAGTACAGAGACGACTTGAGCGATTGGTCGGTAATGGCACGGGCAATATTGGCCACGACGAAGACGTTGTTGCACCTCATCATGTAGTCTTGCGTGGCACGCACTCTGGCGAGGTTGGTGTCCTGCAGGCCTTTGACGGTCCTGTTAGCCGTATATATTTCTGCCATCCCAAACTCCAGATACTCACCCGGCAGGTCTGCGAGCACGACGCCGGTCCTGAGGATCTGCGTATCGAGGTAAATCCTGACCAAGCGTCAGGTCAGTAGGAAGCTCGCCTCTCCAGGGAAAAGAATCGGCTTACCGAATAACCTTTGTAAATGGCCAATACTTATCGCCCATGAAAACATCTGTCTGCTCGAGGCACTCGTGCGAAGTGCCGGCGGTGCCCTTCCAGACTCCCGTCTCCCCTCCCGCGGGCCAGTCAATATCGTAGGACCATCTGATGAGCTGGTCTTTCACTCTTCCAAAGGCTCCTTCAGTCGTGTCCTTGAGAAAATGCTGGCTGAATCCGTGGTGGTGCTTGAACGCGGCTTCCAGGGCTGACCACGCCTGGGCAGATTCTTGCTCGTATTCCCTGTACTCTTCCCTTGATGTCTCGTCCGACGTGACCCCGGGCATGTGAAGCTGTCGGTAGCTGTACAGCAGTTCAGATAACGCATCTTCAATCTCGTCTTGAGACAGGTACTCTGCTTCGATGCAGATGGGCGCCGTATGACTGGGAAGCTTCTGCCTATACTCGGTTATCACGGATGTGCAGGCAGAGCCCGTATCTCCCTAAAATTGCCTCAGTTCATATCTCACGTTTCAACAGCTTCAAGGGCTGACCGTTTTTGCAATTCCGGGATAGTGAAGCAGTGAGTTGATGAGACTGCTTTTGCCTACATGGGCGGTGGTAAGCTCCAGACGTATTGATTGAATGTGCTCAGTACTGACCTTCCCCAGAGTTGCCGAGCAAAGCAACCGTCCGCGTGTCAGTAGTTTGGAAAGTGCACAGCGTTTTAGCTTCTTCGAGCAGATACTCCCAAGAGTTGTCCTGGACGATGGGACTCAAGACCAATGTCTCTGCCGTGGTCTTTGCCACCTGTATGCCTTTTCGGAGAGTGTCCTGGAATTCACGTGTGAAGAACCGATGTTGCGGCGTTTGCTCATTGCCAACGTCGTAGGCAACAGGAGCGCGCTTGACTCTGGCGGCCACGGCTGAAACATCGGACTGGCTTCGAGAGCGCTCAAGTGAGACGGGCTCATGTGCTGTCTGCTGTGCCGCCACCGTGGAGAGTGAGTCCCCGACCGGGGGTAAGCTTGCACTTGCACCAGATCCAGACCAAGACTTTCTCGACGAGCTTTTCGGTGCCGCTGGAGCTAGTGACAGCTTGTCTGCGAAAGCAAAGGAAATAGACGAAACGTCATGTTGAGATGCGGACCACGCGTGACGGGCCATACGATGAGACGGCAAAGGGGAAGCGTTGTGAAGTACGCGAAAGGTAAAGCCAACGTCGTTACCAACCTGGCGGACTCCCGTTTGCTCAACTCGACAAGCTCTGTTGGATGGAGCAGGCTCGGAGCTGAATCGGAAAAGCGGCGGCCCAGTCAAGACAGCAGGCGCGTCTTGCTCGATGGTCTGGTCCTCATCGTCGCTGACGTAGTCGGGCGATGGCGAGTCTCCCTCCGACGACGGAGTATTTTGACGAGAAGATTCTGTGCTTGGGCTCGAGTCTTTGTCCGAAGGAGGATGCGACGAGGGCTCGCCCGCGCTTGTAAGCGGACGTTGGTTCATCCCGGGCAGGACTGTCGGTGCAAGTGTCGTATAGCTCGTGGGTTGGAGTTGGTCGCCAGTGTGAGCCGGCTGGTCTCCGAATGCGAATGTCATTCCAGCAACACCGACTTGTTACTTCCAGAGGGAGGGCAATATATAGTGCAGAAAGGCTTGTCCCTGTCGTCCATTGCCGGTTCTCTGCTGCATTGCTGCGCCCCCGTTCGTATGCATGTTGGCCCTCTGTTTCGACGAGGTCATCGACTGCATGTTGCGCGCGCCATCGGCGGCTTCAACCCGGCCAACCACCTTGTGAGTTTAGGCGCCGCGGCCGTCGCAACTTGACACGCAGCGTTTCAACGTTTCGTGATAGTTCCTGCAGTTGGTTCTACCGTTCGTCTCCAACTCAGCCCTGCGGCCGGAAAGCCGCTGCTGCAAGGCCAATCCCACATGGAATGCTCCAAATATAGGCCCTGAAACCCTACAATGGCCGACGGAGCCCGGCGTCACATGCCATGGCCATGCATTGCGGCTCGCCAGACCACCATGGCGGCCAAATCCTCGCAGGATGCGGCCTGGGGACCAGACAAGCCGCCGGCCAGCGCGCGAGGGGAACTGAGAGCGAATCAGAAAATGGAAGCGCCAACTGCAACGCAAATACCCAGGACACTTAAATATAGGCTATATGTGTGTTTTCAGTACATATTCCATTTGCCAATTTCAAACCAAAGCGGCTGCTGGGACTGGCCGCAGGTAACCCCTTGATACTACTCACTGCTTACTCGACTTGATAATTACTGGACCGTCCAACTAGGTGGCCTGTTTCCCAACGATAATTGTTCGTTCCGAACCTCCTCAACTTTCCAAGCAATGGTGGATCTATACCTGAAGAGGAGTTTACGGTTCATCGACCGAGGCAGGCGTCGGGGAACCATGTGTTTGAGTGCTTCGGCCAAGACCATTTATCAAATGGCGTGTTCTATAAGCCAGCAAGCAGGACTGACAGCACAGTGCAACGACGCTTTTGTTCACCACAATGTCTGCTTGTTTCGCATCTAATCGGCTATTATCCGTGGACAAGAAGAATCCGCTGCTGGTGGGCCGAGCTCAAACTCCAGCAGAGAACCCCATGCAACGAACGACCAGAGCTCTGTCTAGGCTACAGTTCACCTCGTTGGCGCAAAGTCAAGACGTGGCCATTGTCTTGACGACATTCACATGCGCAGACGCTGTTCACTGCCCATATGGTCCGGCGATATAGCCGATAGGGTCGGCCCAAGGCTTTGGAGCGATTTAAGAGACGGAGGCACCAACATATGAATTACAACTAACCACATTGAAGTCAGTGACCATGGCACTTCTTGTTCGTCTTCCTTGGCTTCGCATCTCCAGCCGACGAGGGAGGCTCCTTGCCTCTTCTCCCAATAAACCCTCCCCCTTCACATGCATTCTTAGTGTCGACAATCTTGAAAACACCTGCGAGTGAGTCAACACACATAACCGCGGGTCACGACAGACCTTTCCCCGCAGCCACCATGCATATATGCATGCATGGTCCGCAGCTTGACAAGATGTGGTGCGGGGAAGAGGCCGTCCTTCCCCCTCACTCCGCCGCCCCCAGAGCCGATCATGATGCCCCCTTTCCTCATGCATGCGAGTTTCCTAGCCTGGCCCAGATAGAAACGACGCGTCTCTCCATCAAAGGTCTGTTCCGCACGGGTGCCGGCGCATACGCGCGCCTCGGAGCCCGTCGAGCTTCTGGGCTGACCGCGGTGAGCAGGCCGTGCCCGCTTGCACTCCATCTTCTGCCTCTCGTCTTGCCGTCTCTTGCCGTCTCTCGTGCAACAGGCTCTGGTGTCCTTCCTGGCAGCCTTACTCGCTTCTTCCCCCAAACTCAAGCTCCGGCAGACGCTCCAACTCCAAGCAGAACTTCCCATCCCTCCACCAGGAGATACGACAGCCTCGGCCAGGCTATCAGAAGAAATTCAGCAAGAGGAGAAAAGTAGAGGGCAAAGGAACGCCACGCAGGCATGTCCGCTTGCGCCGCCATGGCCATGTCCAACATGACCGTCGTCGACATCCACACCCACATGTACCCGCCTACCTACATCAACATCCTCGAGTCGCGCCAAACCATTCCTCTGGTCCGCACTTTTCCCCAGGCTCCCGACCCGCGCCTCATCCTGCTCCAGTCGGAAGTCCAGTCGCTTGAGGAAGCTCGCAACAATCCGGCCGCCAAGCCTCCCGGCCGCCCGCTCACGTCGCACTACACCTCGCTCGATCAGAAGATGCACTTCATGGACACGCACCACATTGACATTTCCGTCGTGTCCCTCGCCAATCCGTGGCTGGACTTTGTCGACGCCTCCGTGTCCGGGGGTGTTGGAGAATCCATCAACAACGAGTTTTCCGACATGTGCGGTCGCCATCCGGGTCGCCTCTTCTTCTTTGGCGCTCTTCCTCTGACGGCGCCCCTCGAGACGATTCGGTCGTCCATTGACCATCTCAAGAATCTTAAGTACTGCCGGGGCGTCATCCTGGGAACGTCGGGCCTCGGGAAAGGGCTCGATGACCCAAAACTGCTCCCCATATTCGAGGCGCTCGCCGAGGCTCGACTCACCATCTTTCTGCACCCTCACTATGGCCTGCCTAACGACGTTTGGGGTCCCCGCGCCGAAGAATACGGCCACGTGCTCCCCCTCGCATTGGGCTTCCCGATGGAAACCACCATTGCCGTGACTCGAATGTACCTTGCCGACGTCTTCAACAAGGTCCGCGATTTGCGCATGATTCTCGCTCACAGCGGCGGCACGCTACCCTTCCTCGCCGGCCGGATCGAGAGCTGCATCATCCATGACGGACAGCTGGTGCGCGAGGGCAAGGTGGCCAAAGACCGTCGCTCCATCTGGGACGTCTTGAAGGAACAGGTCTATCTCGATGCCGTCGTTTATTCCGAGGTCGGTCTCGGGGCGGCCATCGACGCCAGCGGGAGCGATAGGCTCTTGTTCGGCACAGATCACCCCTTCTTTCCGCCTCTTACAACGGATGAGCAGGGCGAATGGGAGAGTGTCAGTATGAACGCGGACGCGGTGGCCCGGGCGGTTGGGGAGGGCTCAGCAAAGGCCAAGGGCATCATGGGAGAAAACGCCATAAGAATCTTGAGACTTGGCGAAAAGGCGTAAATTGAGGGCACCCTCCAGCCAAATGGGAAACGGGCCGGTAATGAGTTGAGCAGCCAGTGATGGTGGATTCTGATCTTGGTCAGGGATGAGGGATGTGCGTGCCTGAGAGTGTTTGTGCGTGCGAAAACACTCTGTCTCGAGGGCATACGCAAATCTCGCCGACAATGTGCACCCCTCAGAGCGCCGCGGCTTCACGCTGATAATTTGCCTCTGCCTCGTGTATCCTCCGCCGCGCCTCCTGCTCCGCTTGCGTCGCTTCCTGCAGCTCCTCGGGCGCCGCGGCTTGCTTCCGTAGATTCCTGACGGCTTGCACGGCACGCAACTTGTCGCAGACCAGCTCCCAGTACTTTTTATTGACGTCGCCGAGGCCGACGAGATAGTTGCCCGGCACGTCGATGGTGCCGTTGGCGGGTCCCGAACGTTTGCCGCCGCCACCCAGGGAGGCCTTGATGGACACCTTTGCCTGCTTCCGGCGGGCCTTTTCGTCCCTCTTTTCCTTGAGCCGGCGCCTGGCCTCGGCCAGGTCGGCCACGTCCTGGGCAGCCTCGGCCTGACGCCTTTGCTCCTCGTCGCGCAAGCGTTGTACCTCGGCCAAGCGCTCCCTCTCCTTCTGGAGAGTCTCGCGGTCGAGGTGCTCCTTGTCTTGGCGCTGGCGCATGGCGGCCTGCTCGCGGGCCTCGAGGTCATCGGCGAAGTGCCTGCGCTCCCTGTCCATGGCCTCGCGCTCGTGCTTTCGTAGCAGCTTGGCCTTTGTGGCCTGGTCGTAGACGGCGCGGGCGTCCGGGTCGGACAGGACGTCGCGGGCGCGTTCAAAGAGCTCCCATTTGGAGGCGTCGAACTGGTCACCCGCCTTGTCCGGGTGGTACTTTAGCGACCGCTTTCTCCATGTGCGGTGGATGTCTTCTTTTGACGTGAGGGCGTCGACGCCCAGGAGCTGGTAGAGGTCGACATCCTGCTCTGCGTATTCGCTGGCGAACCGCACCAGGTCCTTGTTGTCTTCGCTCATGGCTCTACCGGTGACGGGCGTGCGGCCGTGAGAACTTGGTCTGCTTATAGAGCCGCAGGCGCCGTGAACCGCAATGACGGTGCGGAAAGACGGAGAAGGAAGAGATGTTTGCACGCGCGACCGCTCTGATGAGTGAGTGAACCGGTGGCGCGGGAGAGCGTGGGGTGGCGCAAAGAGAAGGACAAGTTTTCGAAAGAGATGGGGATCCGCCGAGCAGGTAATGGTAGAAACGGGCTGACGATGGAGTTGGTGTGGGTAACTGAGGTGTGCGCGATGATGAGTGAATGTTGAGAGCTGTCGCGACATCTAACTTAGGTTCTTTTGAAGGTCGGAGAGTCAGCACGTGACTTGCCAGACGGCCCAACTCCAGGCGTCAACTATTATTAATTAAACCTCACTTCATAACCAACGACATACCATCACAAAGCGACACCCTAATGGCAGCTTAACAGAAACGGTCGCACGACATGCTTCCCTTCGAACAGAAACGACAGACCGTGACGTTTCGCATTACGCCTGATCCTTGAATGCCCCCCTTTCCCGTTCTTGCAATGTAAATCACTCTCTCATCATCAGCATCATCACGCCCACGCCAAAGCCCCCATTCTTGCTCCAACTCGCCCGCCTCCGCGCATAGTCGTACACATTTGGCGTCCCTCCCGACTCTTTCAGCAGATGTCTCTCGTACCGCCCGAGCGGCTCCTCCCGCATGGTTCTCTGGCCCGGATCCGCAGGCCCATCCGTCTCGCCCCTGGCGAAACTCCACACCCATCGCCCCTCCAACGCCTCCCCGTCGCAGTCGCGCTCACCTCCCTGACAACCCTGAGCCGGTCTCGGCGGCGACTCATGCGCAAAACTCGCTACCCGCCGGAGCCGCCAGCCGGATAGCGCCGGACAGGTCCAGCTCGCCTTGTCGTTGAGCCCGAGGCCCTCGCACGCGAGCCGCGTCCGGACCGAGCTGTGCACGCTCTCGTTGGTGTCCTGCAGGAAGCCCCTCTTGTCGACCTTGGTTCGGGGGTCGATTTGTCTGTACAAGCCCGGCGTCCGCGTCGTCTCGCCCGAGAGCTTGAAGATGACGCTCGAGACCTTGCGCATGGCTCCGAGGCCCCACGGGCGCTCCGGCCAGTTCTCCTCGTAGATGCAGTCGACGGCCCACCTCGGTTGTTTTCGGGAGCCTAATATGCAATCTAACTTGAAGGCATTCTCTGGCACGTGGTGGTAGAGGTCTGAGGATTGCTTGATGACTCGGTCCAGCGACTGTATGTCAAACTCGACTCCGACGCTGGCCATTTGATCCATCATCCCTGAGAGCGAGAGATCAGTTTCCTTGGATCTTGTCTCTGATCAAGGGATTTCGTACAAGCCAGGGTGCAGTTGGCAAGCCCCTGGTCTTTCCAGCCGCCACCGCAATTACCATGGTTTCCCGGAAACCAGACCTGCCTCAGCTTGGTGCTGAGCCCGGCCTCTTGCGGCCGCTCCCACACGGCAGGGCTAAAGGGCGCACGCGTCTCGTCGAGGGCGAGTGCCTGGAAAGCATGCTCGATCCGGTCCGACAGCGCCGTGTCGTGCCACTTGTACGTTCACAGAAGGTCAGCCAGCCGGCGGACAACGAGTGAGGAGAGGGAAAGCAAAGACCCCGAAGAGGAACGAAAAGGGGACGGGAATGACTTATTCCTTATTATCCGAGTTGATGCCCAACCTCTCGAGCCACGCAATGCGCGGTATCCCCAGGCTGCCCACGGTGTCCCAGACGCAAACGGCCTTTACGGTGATGAGGCGGCCGCTCTGCTGGTGGATGCGCGTGTGGCCCATCTCGGCCAGCCGGGCGCGGTAGACGGCGGCCGCCTGGGGCCCCTTTGGCTTCTGCGGAAAGGGCACTTTGGGAAAGGGGTCGCGGTAGTCGTCCTCCAGCCAGTTCTGCATGTCCTTGAAGATGGGGCAGAAGTGCTCGACGCCCTCACGCGTCAGCAGGCCCAGGTTGGATATGAGGCCGGCCACGGAGCGGGCGGTGAAGGCGCTGCGCGAGAAGCCGACGAGGAGGATGTCGTCGCCTTCACGGTAGTGGGCGCACAGGTACGAGTAGGCCTCGCGAACGCGCTGGCAAGAGACAGAAACGGGGCACCGTTCAGCCAACGCACCGGAACAAGATATCGGGAAAGGAGCCGGAGCCGGAGCCGGAGCCGGAGCCGAGCCAGCATGCGGACACGGAGACGGAGACTCACCTCGGCCAGCCCGACGCCAAACGCACCCCCCGTGATGCTGTCGAGCGCATTGCTCCCGCTGCCGACGCCCGACCCGTAGCTGATGATCTGCAGCGTGCCGTCGCTGCACCGGCGCTTGAAGCAGCGCGAGATGCGCGTCACGTTGGACGGCACCTGCAGCCCGCCCCGGCCGTTGAGCAGGCCCGGCTTGACGTACCCATACGCGCTGTTCATCCACGTGCCGTCGCAGCACACGATGAGGCGCTTTTTGGCCCGCCTCTCATGGCCGCTGCAGCTGCCGGGCCCGTCGCCGCCCTCTGCCGCCGACGCGTCCATCTGAGCCTTCTTCTCTTGCAATGCTCGAGGCCACCTCCTGTCTCTCAACCTTCCCCTTTTGTTTGGCTGTGTTTGTTCGTTTTGGGAGTAAGTGAATTGATGAAGAAGGCAGGCAAACAATTTGGCCGCCGACACAAAGGCCCGCGCCGATGTGGCCTATCCGGGACATGCAGCAGCCAGCGGGTTGGTCGCCGGTGCCGGCTTGCATGGGGGGCAATCAGGGATTCATATATCGAGTCCATGTACATGCAAGACGAAATGCAAGGGCCTGACGTCGCAGCCCGATCTCTCGCCCTCTCTCGTGGGACACTTCGTCGACGAATGTAGCATCATGGGAAAGGGGAGGGGTTCTCCTCCCCTCTTGTTGGTGTAACCGAGACGCGACGCCAACTTCTTCTTGTAATTATCTAAATATAGGGCAATACAGTCATAGGAGACGCCTCTTATGCTCACTCCGACTTGAAGCACATCCTCTCCAAGGGCAGAGTCCAGCCGCCGAAGCTCATTGGCTCAGGTGACACAGGCCCTGCTGCACCTCAAGCTAAATAGCATCTCCCGCCCCGGCACCTCTGCTCAGTAAGAGCAGAAAAGTCTGTACCGCAACGGGCCGCCTCGAGCTGCGGCCTCGACTGAACTTGATACTCCCCTCTCGCCTCTTCCCCCCTCCCTCCACGATCCCTCTCATTGTCTTAAACCCAGACGCCAACCACGCCCGGCACGAAGCGCACATACCCGGCGTCCGGCACAGCCCGAGACTCGAGGCAGCCTCATGGCCGAGGCTCGCCGCATCATCGCCCCCCCCCGGGTCTCGGCCGTTGCCCGTACGAGGCATCCTCCCGCCATCGGTGGCTTGCGCCATGCCAGTGCCGGTCCGCTGACCAACACCTCCCTGTTCACTGGCTCCGTATACATGAGGCTGTAGGATGGCCCTTGTGAGTATTGACATCGTCATTCGCCGGGCAGGTCACATTCGAGATATCTGTGCCTGGTCCAAGGCTGCTAATAAAGGAATTCACTCCATCACTGTAAAAGGAGAGCTGCGATCCTCGGCATGTTACGGGAGACACAGAATGTGCAATGTATTTTGTCTTTTGGTTTACTGTCCTCAGTGTCGCCCATCCCTGAGATGGTGTCGACGCTCGACCAGGTGCCGGGGGGTCAAGGGATATCAGAGTGGATATAATCTGTGACGAGGAGAAACAGCCGTGTTCCTCCCGGCCTCAGCCTGTGGAGTGCTTTGAGAGGCAAGGTATCCATCATCAACCGTGTGGCTCGCTCAGCCCGGCTCTCAGCCAGTCCGGCACAAAGGCCCTGACTTTGACGCTGCGCGCGTCGTGCCCGTCGCCCCACGCGAGGACAAACTCGTCGCCGGGCTTGTACGTCGCCGCAGCCTGCTCCCCGGGCAGGACCACGTCCGTCATAATCTCCAGCCGACAGAGACCCAGCCCAATGTTACCGACGCCCTTGAGCCATTTGCCCGCGCTGCGGCCCTTTTTGCCGACCCGGCCGATGCTCGTCTCGCCAGGAATCGCGTCGGCCGTCAGTGCCGTGGCCGAAGAATCATCTCCCGGATTATAGGCGAGCACCTGGGGCGCGGGCTCGTCGTTGTCGTATATCATGCATGGCAGGATGCGTTTTCGGATGACGCCGCGGTGCTTGGTGCGAATGGTGAGCTCCTGGCCGACGTAGCAACCCTTGCGGAAGTCGATGCCGTTCATCATGTCCATGTTGGTCTCCAACGGCAAGGCCTGCTCTCGGATGATCTCGTCCTGGCCCTCGGGCACGCCCTGGAGATAGCGGCGGACCGTGTAGGCGTCCTCGGTGCGCTGCTGGAGATGAAGCTCCGGCGGCTTGCTGTCCAGTCGGAGTATGCGGTAACCTAAGCCGGGTGCTCGCGGGTCTTTCATGACGATTTGGGAATCGCTGGCCGTCGGGTCAAGCGGTTCGACGTCGTTCCAGGCCTGCCAGACAGTGACCTGGTGGTCAGAGATGTCGCGGACGTCGACCTTTGCCCGGAGCTTGTAGCGCTTGATGTACTTGGCCAACCTGGGGATTTGGGCGGCATCAGCCTCGACCAAGAAGCCATCTTGATGGAAAGGAACCCCGCGGGCGGCCTGGAAGGGATAGATGAAGGTATCGTGCACGACCCTGCCGGTGGCGTTCAGGAAGCCGGTGTAGAAGGCGTCGGTGCGAGGCAGGCCGTCGGGCGCGGAGACGTTTGCGGTGACGATGCCCTGGAGAAACTTGGCGGCGTCGGGCCCCGAAACGGAGAGCAGGCGTCTCGAGGCAAGGGGTGCGAATCCCGACGACGGCGGGCTCGAGCTTGCGAAGCGGCGGCGCGGCTGGAGGCAGCCGGGACAGAGGAAGAAATGGCGCACCGGCGCAGCCCCCTTGGCAGGGCGTCGCATGGCGCGCGTGTGCGGGCGGGAAAGAAATGGCCTCGCGAGGAAAGAGCCTGCTCGCGTATGAAGCTGCTGCCGCGCACTACCGGAGTCTTGCTGATGCGACAGCGACGCAGAGCATGACGTACGTGTAGAAAAGGCGCCCGGTGGACGGTTTGAGCGGTGGTGGAGGATGGAGGGGCGGCAGGTGGGTAAGGGTTGGACGGGAGCCGTTTGCCGCTAAGATACAGTGGTCTTGATGTGTCTTTACTGGTCCGAATAGCATCAAGTAGGCTTGTACAGTACGTGAAGCCTCTCAAGAGAAGGAATGGGCTCAATTGATCCAGAGTACTTGCAAGTATACAGCACATCTCTTCCGGAGCAATGATTTTCATCCAGGATTGTGTAGGTGTATATTTTCAAAGAGCCAGACTGGACCAAACTGGGCGTTGATACTTTGAACAACAGCGTTCTCCACCACCAGCTTCCCTTGGCGAAGCTGACGCGCCCGTCAAACGAATTACTGTCAATCATGGCTGACCAAGGGATAATTTGGTTCATGTATCGGGTTGCTCCGGACTATTCGTAGATACAGGTTAATTAAGTTATAGCACGCAAAAGCCCAGTGCAGTGGTGGAGACGCCTCCGGGTGAAGCTCAGCGTGTTTCTCCGTCCAAGTCTGCCACGGCCAGGTCAAACGCGCGCATCTTCACGGAGCTTGCCTCCCTCCCCCTTCTTCCAAAAAAAAGGCCGAGCCGCTAAGCCGAGTACCCCGTGTTCATGTTGTTGCGCCGCGACGAGACAAACACGGGGCCGGGGCCTGGGATGCCGTTGGTCGGTGTGCTGATTGATAAGACAGCCGATTCATAGATGCTCGCACAGTCAAGCTTCCCCTCCCTCAACGTTGAATCCATGCACGTTAGTCACTAGCTTACTGCTGAGTCGTTTCCCCCGGCGGACCATGTGACTGCCTAGCGACGGTGACAGCAACAACAACAAGGTCCGACACCGGCGGCTTGTCGGGGGGGGGCGTTGAGATGGATGGACAGACAGACAGAGATTGAACGACACCCTGCAGCAGCCGGGGCACGCAGAGTGGCACTCCATGCGGTTGCATCAACACGGGGCAGCTGAAATGAGGCCGAGAAGGAGGAATAGGATTTCGTCGAGGTCCTCCTTGGTGGAAACCGTGTCTTTCCAACGAGGGATGATGGGATTGACTCACTCTGCTGATCGTTGACGCACGGCAGGACCAAACCTTATCGATCTGGCCATGCACACTCATACGTAGAAAGCACGAGGTGTGCGTGCATTGAATTTGTATAATAATCATGCTTTTTCTACCGCCTCGGAACCTCAACGGAAACGTTTGTCTTTCCCCCACCCGATCCCGCCCTGTGCACGAAGTAACTTACGCACGATACATTGCCGACGAAATACAACGAGGGCAAGAGAAGCGACAAACCTTGAGCCTCCGCGCGGCCTCTCCACCGTTTTACGTTGCTACTTTGCGCGCCGCTTGATAACATAGAGTCCTAGATGCGACTCGTTCTGTATTGACTAGCACACACGCACGTACCGCCGCAAGCTGTCTCTCGCTTTCTCTCTCTCTCGCGCTCTCTCTCTCAGCGTTCGTCTGTGACCCCAGATATAGGTGCAAGAGCTCATCCACTGGAGAGGCGCCACACTCAACTCTCGCCAAACCTCGGTCTTGTAAGTTTACTTTGAACTCGACTTGTCACCGCATCTCATGACCTCATGCTGTTCTTTTCCTTCCACGGTCCACGAAAAGAGGAAGAGAGGAAAGGAGCAGAGTCGAATGACATTAACCTCGACGTTAACCTCCTCGACAGGACGTCGACGGCCTTGGCGGCCACCTCCTCGATCAATCCCGTCAGCCTGGGATGCCATGCAGCTTTAGGCATCCATTGCACCGTGAGTGGATTGGGGACAAGAGCGATGGGAGAGTTGGCTTGGCAGCCCGGCAATTACTGGGCTCTCAGCCCGCTCAGCCCGCGCCGCAACGAGACTGCATGAAATACCAAGGTACGTACAATATGTACTCTTCAGTACCACCTCCAGGTGACCCAGTCCTCGGATCGCTGACGCCCGATTGGGCGGCTGATCAATCAAAAGAGGGTACGTACTGTACGCGGTACTCGGTACTGGCGGCTCCTCCACGCCCTCCGCCGGGCGCGCGGGTCCAGCTGGCCCAGGCAGGAGGTGGGGCAAGTGCTTGTCACCCTACAGCAGTTTTTACGCCCTTTCTACATGTGCATTTTCTACTCATTAAATCTATTTTTTTATGCGGCCCTCGCCCTTGACTCATGCCGATCCTCAACGGGGAGCCGCGACCTCGTGCTTTAGATTGGACGCCGCGTGACCCGCACATGTTATGAGTCCCGAGGTGAGCACCGTGATGGGCGCCGCTGATGGTAGACATCGGGCAAGTAAGGAGAACAAATGATCGAGGACATTCATCAGGGTAGCATTCACCAGGGTATAGACATGATGGTGTTTGGGTATAGTCCTTGGTATTGACTCGTTGACTCGAGACGGCCTTGATGCGGCCCACCTAGTCACTATCTAGATACCCAGACTCCTCCTCTTGGCTGCGTAGAGTGGGAAATGCCAGATGCATCCCCTCCGTATTCCTGATGCATGACCATTGTCTGTCTGCTGACAACGTCCTGTTTATCCTTGCTTCCTTGTTCCGATGAGTGGTGACCTTTGATGATGATGATGATTTGACAAGATGTTTGTCGAGATTAAATAAAAAAAGATCGCTTCGCCGCCGTGCCGTCTGCCATAAGTGCCATGAGGTATCATATCTGTAAAGAAAAAACGCCGTGTAATGCCGATTCACGCCTCTTTTTTTGAAGACGAATAGAAAAGATTCCAAGATGCGAATTCGAAACAACTCTCCGGGAGAGCACGCCTAGTAGACCGATATGGCCGAGACCAGGCCGGTGGAGTTCCGCCGCGATATGTAGTACTCTTCGCCGTCGAGAGCATCCTCTGCTGAGGGGTCGCTCTTGGCCTCCTTCTCACTGTATGGCAGCGCGGCATCGGCTGGCGAGGGCGGCATCGACTCGTCGTCGGAAGTGTCCGAGTCCGGGTCCATCAGGTCCGGCGGCGAGCTGGAGTGCGAGGGTGTCCGCACAAGCTCGAGGTGGGCGTAGTCCTCCTCGAGGTCATCGTCATCGCGGAGCAGGGCTGGCGTCCGCACGGGCACTGCATTTGCCATTTCAAAGTCGTCCTCGTTGTACTCGTCATCCTCGTCCAGGTCCGAGTCGTCGTCAGACGAGTGGTCAACGGACCGCTCCTCGACACGGTCGGCCCACTGGACGTGGCGGGCGGGCGCCTTGCTGGCGCCGCGGACCGACTGGTTGAACCACCGCTCCTGCTCGCGCTCGGCATCGGCGAGTTCGAGCATCAGCGAGTCGAGCAGGTTGGCGTGGCCGACGAGCAGGCGGAGGTCGTGGTCGGGCTGGGCGGCCTCGCGCGAGAGCTTTGCCCGGGCCTTGTGGGCCAGGTAGTAGGTCTGGGTGATGGACATGTCCTTCTTGGGCGCGGAGCGGATGAAGGGGTTGCGATGTTGAGGGTGGTGAGAGGATGCTGTTGTAGCAGACATTGTGTTGTAGGAAGAGAGAGAAAGGGAGACGGGACAAAGGGCGGCAGAGTGGGTTTATTTAAAAATAGAGGCGACGGAGTGGATGTCGCCGGGGTAGGCCAAAAGGCGAGGAGCGGTGGTGAGTCAAACGACGACCGATGGCGGAAGACCGGGTCGGTATGCAGTGCAGGGATTCCGGGACGGCGGTGATGAGAGCGACGGGGCAGATTGGGTAACGGGAGTCGATGCAGCCGCTAGTCCCGATACGAATGCGAGTGGGCGTTGCACGAGGGAGTCGATGAAGCGTCTATGGCCGGTCTAAGCTGGATGATTCCAAGGGATCTGGAGTCAGGTATATAGCTGGGGATGGCCAGGAAAAAAGAGGACCGAGGGAACGGGGGGGCATCGGGATACTTTTATCTCGGCATGCATGGCCACGGCTCGATGACCGCTAAAGGCGGATTTTGCACACGCGGACCCGAGCAGCGGCGCGAAGACTCCGCGGCGCACAGGGGCAGAGGGGCCCTCTAGAGGGGCAGCAGCGTTCCACCTGCCTGCCTGGGGGGTGTGGAGCCCCGTGGACAAGCAGCAGCGGCAGGTACTGCGCTGTGGGCGGTGCTTAGAAAACCCCGGTCCGTCGAGCGCGAGTCCGTCCGCCCGGCCTCCGCTCGCTCGCTCGCTCGCTGACCAAGCCCAAACTCCGAGCAAGGGGGGGGGGCAAGAAAAAGGAACGACGCGGGCCTGCACGCGCGCCTAGGCAGCCATGTCTCTTGCAGCGCCGCTTCCAGCAGCAGCCGCAGCAACAAGGCAGCGTTGCTCGGATCTGCCGCTCGTCTTTCCTCAAGCGGCCGCAAAAGCCAAGTCTGCTGTACAGTACAGTGCAGCACAGTACAGTAGGGTAATTACGGTAATTACTGTATGTACTCGATCCACGCTCATGTTGTACGGAGTAATCATGTAATCAATCCGTTAATCCATCACCTAATCACGTGGAGAAGGCCACCGGTATGTCCGCCTATGCCCGGCGGCCCCCCAGTGCCGGTGCCGTCGACGGACCGGCTAGATAATCCAAACCCCCCAAGGCACAGACGCCTAGCGCTGCAGCGTCCATTTTGGATTTCCAATCCTGCTCCCATCTTGTGTGTGTTTGATAAGCTTTCTGTCGGCCAGCTTGCTTGCTGATCGACCAAATTGTTGCGCCGCTGGCCTCCATGGCGTGCTCGCTCTGGTTTAGCAGAGAGCCATGCATGTCATCCGCATGACGGCATCACGTCGTCAAGGACAACGCCCGCCGGTGACAGGACCGCCCAACGGCAGCGTAGCTCTTTTGGGTCATGGGCCGCCGCAGCCAACACTCGCTGCACGCGAACAAGGCCCCTTTGCTCGCTCTCGCCCTTATCTGTCCTGGATCCATAGGCCACACGGCGTATAGTTTGGCGGCAGACGTGGCCCGCTTGACGGAAAGCCGACGGATCCGCGAGCCATTTGGGCCCATTTCTGTGGCGCCTCTCCAACCCTCCAACCAGCCAAAAAACACCGTGGACTCGCCCAGGTACCCCTACTTCCCTACTCTACCCCCCCTGGGCCCTGCATCCTGCCACTACTAGTAGGTGCCTGCCTAGTGCCAAGGCACAAAGGGTACATTCAGTGGCTACAGTACTTGCTCCGATGACTCTTCTCTCCAATTCAATCTTGACTCACAGTCTGATGGATGGTGGGGGTAATGCCCAGCATATCAGATCGCGCCATCCCTGGGCGCCAATTGGATTGCATGGCTGACGAATGCAGCTATTGTGCGCGAAGGGGACCGAAGCACGAGGAATGTCGGTGTCAAGCTCGGCAATCATCATTATTATCAACCCGTGCATCGATCGAGTCAGCGAGTTTTTCTGTGACTCGAAGCGTTTGATTTCCGTCTGACTCTTTTTTTTTGGCCTGTTTGACTCCAATGTTGGCTGTTTCGGGCTCTCCATCGGTCTTTGTTTCGACCCGGCAATGCCCCCGCAGCCGCAGATGGATGCCGTGCCCTCGTCCGCCTGCCAAGCTGTCTGATCTCTCTCTCGCGTGGACGACTCGTCGCAGCCAGAGACACAGCGCGACCGCATTGGCACCCAACGACTCGTCGCATGGTGCAGCAGCCACCATGCAGCTCGCTTTCGCTCTTCCCTTGCCCCGCCCGAGAGGCGAATGGGAAAAGCGAGCCAGCACAGCCGTACGGGTACGTACCGCCTCTGTCCGTATCCCAGGTATCCCAATCGTTCAAAGCTCATCCGACGTTTACTGCCGCCTCGCCGTGTAAACCGACGGCTGATTGTTCTCAGGCATCTCAGGTCACGGTATCATGAATCGCCTTGGCCCCAAGTGATTTCCCACATACCCCCCCGCAAAGAAATGCATCGTGACTCGGGCGACTTGATCCTCGATTGAGCCGGACGGTTTGCTTGCCGCCAACCTGCATCGGCAACTGTGGATGAAACGACCATGGGACGTTTCTCTGCAGACTTCGGTGCAGACGTACATACATAAGGCAGATACACACGTTGTCGGCTACTTGCAGCACAGCCAAGAGCGAGCAGATGCCGGGTGCCCCGAGATGTCCCCGTCGGCGGCCGTTTGAGGCCGGAGCTCGGCATGCAACCCTCTCACTCTCACCTGCAGGAGACGAGGGGGAGGAAAAAAAAAAGAAAAATCGTCGAAACTTGGGCTTCGTCGCTTCCTCCTCGGGGATCTCGGACTTGGCTGCTGATACTACTTTCATGTTTCTTTTCCTTTCCATTCATCGTTTGTGGGCGTTTCCCGTCTCGTCTTTTTTTCCTGTGCCCCCCGTCATCTCACAACCCCCTCCTGCTCTCGGGACTGAGCCATCCGCCGCTTCCTTCACGGCATTCTGCCACCGTGTCTTTTTTTTTTCTTTTCTTCTCCTTTCTTGGTCGTCCTTGGGGCTACTGTGTCCGGCTGGGCAGTCTGTCCCGCGGGCGGAGCTACATGGGACGACGAGAAACGGGCGGACTTTACTAAGCCTTTCTCCGGGCCATTGGCCAAAAGTCCGCAGCAGTACGGAGTAAGGTAGCCACAGAGTAAGGTAGTCACACGCCGTGCCGGCTGTGTGTGAGCGAGCAGTGGGCAATGATGCGAACAAGCTTCTCGCGCGACGACATGACAGTCACTCACCCCTACAAGGTCTTACCGGCGCTGCCAGCGTACTATACGAACAAAAAAGTGTACTATACGAGCAAAGTAAGTTACATGCTCGATACCTGAAACCTTTAGGATGCAAGGTAGGTAGGTAGGTATGCACAGTAGGTACCTATCTTAGCAACGAGGCAGCCATGCCGGCTCCGACGGGGCGCCCGAGGCCCTCCGCTCGGTTCCGACGGGTAGTCGAGGTACCTACGGCCGCCGGCCTTCGGGCCTCTATCAAGATCCGTCATCGGCACGTCACCCCCGAAGTAAGGGAAAAAGAAAGGAAGGCAAAAAAGGTGAAACAGGCTCTTCTTAATAGTCTCTTCATCGTCAATCGACTCTTCCTCTTCCCTCGGACCGTATCTCGAGGTCGGCAAAGAAAAGAAAAGAAACGACAGAGCGCGGGCATGTGTCACGTCCCACGTGTCGCAGAACGCAGCGATTGTCGGACACATTTTCAGCCCTATCTCCCATCACTCTCTCATTTATCATTACTCCCGGACACCACCTGGATGGACCCTTGCTCCCGTCTCCCAGGCTCGGCCACGTTGGCTCCCGGCGAGTCCATGTACAGCCCCGGCCAACCAGAGCAAGCCTTTCCATGCCACGCCTCTTGGAGTCGGCCCTTGCGGTGGATTACATATCAATACGACATGCATGCGGCTGTAGCATTGAGCCTCGTCTTACCAGGAAGGATGCTTGCCCTGTCATCCTGTAAGCGGCGCAAACAGAGTCTCGTCCCTTCGGACATCAAATATTGCATCCATCCCCTGCATCGCAAACAGTGACGCCTCGCCGGGACCCCTGTTCTTCCCCACCACCTGCATCCCGGGCAGTCGAGCCAGGGATAGGGAGTGCCTTGTCTTGTCTCCAGTGCCCCCGAGGCTCTGGAGGAACACGGTCCCTGTCGATCTCGGTCGCTCGGAAACAGATTGAATGCCATCAGCCAATACCAAGCTCTCGAGTGATGACTCCGGATTGGGGCACTCGTGCCTGCCTGGATGTCAAGCACACCCAACATCTGTATACCTGACATTGTCGGCGAAGCACCCTTGGATCTTCGGTGGTACAACAAGTCTAATTGGCGACAAGTCCCATGAAATATCCTTGCTCCCATTCGGCCACCGCCGACAAAGGCGGGGACCATCAACAGACAGCGTGGGCTCCCATCCGGCGCCTTGCGCAGTAATGAGTCCCGGCATGGTGCACTATAGCCGTGTGGCTCACATACCCTCGGCATGGAACCCTCCCACGGTCTCATTCGACGCGAAGCTTCTGCTTCGTCCTCTTGCGCTTCCCGCCCACCTCCCTGCCCTCCTCCACCTCGAGCAGCGCCTCTCGCTTCTTCTCGCTAACCAGCTTCAACGCATCGCGAAGCACCCTCGTCTCCAAGTTGACGCCCTCCTCCTTCCAAGCATCCATCTCCCTGCCCACTCGCTTCTCAATGGCCAGCACCAGCTCCACGTCGCGCTGCCCGACAAACGTGGCCGCCTGGCCCTTGCGTCCCGCGCGGGCCGTTCGACCGACTCTGTGGATGTAGTCGTCCGGATCGCGCGGCATGTCGTAGTTGACCACCAGGCTGACCTCGGGAATGTCGAGACCTCGCGCAGCCACGTCCGTGGCCACCAGGATTCGGGCGGCCGAGGCGCGGAAGCGCGCGAGGTTGTCGATGCGTTGCCTTTGCGGGAGCTTCGAGTGCAACGAAGTCACGCGATGGTCCAGAAGCCGGAGCAGGTGGTGCAGGTATTCGGCGGTCGAGGTCCTGTTGCAGAAGACGATGATGGTCTTGTCCTTGTTGCCCTCGGTGAGCAGAAAGACGTGGAGATAGTGTTCCTTGTGGGTGACGGGTATCTGGATATGCGCCTGCGTCAAGGTGGCCGGAACGGCAAGCATCTGAGTATCGACCTCGCACACAAACACCGGCGGCTTCCCGGGCTTTTGCGGCATGCTCTTGAGGGCGCGGACTTCAGGGGTAATGGTGGCGGTGAAGAGCAGGGTCTGGCGGTCGGTGGGAGGCGGCAGGACGCCCAGGCACTCCTCCACGTCCGGGAGCATGCTGCCGGGCCCAGCAGCGTGTAACAACCGATCGGCCTCGTCGAGAACCACGAAGCGGACTCTTCTCAGCCCGCAGATTGTATCCTCCCCAGAGGTCCGGATGTGATCGGCCAGGCGGCCGGGCGTGGCGATGACGACGTGAGGCCGCTGGGCGAGCGCAATGGCTTGCGCTCGCATGTCGGAGCCGCCGGTGACCAGGATAGCCTTGAGGCTCTGGGGCGACGAGATTGCCTTGAACTGCTCGTAAATCTGCAGGGCCAGCTCCCGGGTGGGCGTCAAGACGACGGCGAAGATGGCGGTCGGGTCTTGGGCCCACGTCTGAAGGATTGGGACGGCAAAGGCGACCGTCTTTCCCGAGCCCGTCCTGCTACCGCCAATGCAGTCTCTGCCCTTTAGGATTTCCGGTATGCAGCCCTTTTGAATACCAGTGGGCCGCTTGATGGCCATGTTGGCGAGAGATTGCACAAGCCATGGCCGTACCTGCAACGCCGCGAAGCTCGTGTTGGGGTCGGTCGGGGCAAGAATGCGATTCGGCGGCGGCACGGCAGGCTTCCCGCCGTCTGCGTTTTTCGCGGCTCTCCTTACGCGGGACGGGGCTGCGATGGCAGAAAAGGCCGTCGTCGGGTGCCCGAGGTCGTCGCCGTCGCTGTCGTCGGCGGCTTCAAGCTCGCGCGACGTGCGCCGCCTCTTGCGGGAGGCCGTGTCGTCGAGGTAGTCGGACTCTGCCGAAGATGGGGAATCACTGTCTGACATTTCGGCGACTGTCCAATCAACCCTGGGAAGTCATCCTCGTGGAGCTTTGGGTTGCGCCGTCAGAAGGCTGGCCTTGTCGCCTAGAAATTTTTGGTGCTGTCGTCGGCGTGCGACTGGGGGAAAAATTGGACATCTCCGGGTAGTGGGGCCGGATGGCAGAGCACGTGGCCGCCGCGACCTCGGCCGCTCGGTGGACTTGGTACCTACTCCGTACTTGGTGCTGAGCAGGAAGAGGACAAGGCCTTGATGGATACATGATGATGATGCACGATACTGAACAGGTCTCACATGAGCCTATCGGCAGAACGTGTCCTGATGGGCTGGCATAAATGGTCATGCACAAAATCCTTCCCTTCAAGGCCAGCATAGATGCGCATAACGCTGCTGGAGCAAAATCAGATACCCAGCCTCAAAGTCCCCGACAGAAGAAAAGAGGGCTTCGTGAGCCAACGCGTTCGGACGCTTGAAGGAAATTAAAGGGAGTCGGACTGCATGAGCATGCCGTGCCGTGGATACTCGCAGCTGTACATGCAACTACGAAGTACAGTGCAGGCAAAACAGCTTGTCGAGCATGCGGCTCGGCTTGAGGCATGTAGTGAAAGGCCCGAGACAAGCTCGCCGTACAGTGTGCGATGACTCTCGGAGACTACTGAGCACGTCTTGGCTTGGTAGACGCGCGCTTAACGGCAGGGAGTCGACGCTGTTTCGCTCTGGCCTGGCCCCCACAGCAGCGATCGGCCTGCCTCAGATTGTGCACGTGCATGCAGACAGGATCCAGTGAGGTCTTTGAGGAATCACTGGCGCCGTGGGCATGCTGCCGTGCAACCGAAAGAGAGATGAGGGATGGAAAGGGGGCCAGCAAGGAGGAAGACGGGAGAGACGAGGGGACGACGCACACTGTGCACCACTGTGCCACACTGTGCAGAGAAGGCGACTCGGTGGCGCGTGCCTGAGTACAGTACGTGCGCATCTACACGCACGGCCACACCGAGCAGCTTAGCTTTCCATCTCCCAGGCAGCCAGCCATTCGCCCGTCCAGCACGCAGGCGAGCTCTCCGAGAGCAACTGGTTATTTGAATCAAGTGGTCAGTCGATGCGACGGACAAGTGCCTCCGTGAAAAGCCATCAAGGGAGGCGGGCGGACCGACTCGACAGTCACGCCCAAAGAGGGAATGCCACGCTACCGCAGAAGCAGGGAGACGATGAACTATCCATCGAAATGGCACTGGGCTTGGCCGTGTGGGCGAGCCGATCGACTGATGGCTTCAGCTACGGAGGAACCGTCCACCAGCTCCACCCGTGCATGAGTATAATGAGGCTTCCCACCGGCATCGACGCCTTGAGCTGTCGGGTCAGCACATCTCGGACCGGCCGGCTTATGTACGGCGTACCGTATGCACAGATGCACACTCCTTGCCCGGGACAGAGTGCCGCGTGCATGCAGACGTTGATAATGACGAAACGGAATGTTGGCAACGAGTGGCCACGATGCCAGACGGCGGCAGATGAGCTGGTGGTGAAGGCCGCCGGATGGACCAACAAGCGGCCAGAAGAGCCTGGAGAGGGCGCTAGCGCCAAACGGTTCGCAGTCTCCAGCAATGGACGGGAGGCTCCCGGGGGTCCCATTCGCAGCCTGGTCAAGCCTGGAACGCCGCCCAATCCCGCTACGGCCAGAGGGCGCACAGCACGCTTCCCCCCCAAGCAGACAATGTACTTCAATGCCTGCTCGAGGTATCTGCTCGCCTGCTTCTCGGGGCAAGAGAACATGCACTACAGAGTCGAGATACATCGGGCGCCTACCCGGCCATTTGAAGTCATACAGTGTATGTTCTTATGTGTCTGCACGGTGTGTCGACGAGTGCCGAAAATGCGCCTGGCTGCACGCCGTGCTGTGCTTCCTTGCCGTACGGGATGCAGAGGAGTCGAGTTCAGCCTTCCACCCGCTGCCGCTACAGTGGCTGCGAGAGACGTCCGGGGTTCGTTCGTTGTTGGGTCAGGTACTAATGTACCTGCCACAACCTCCTCTACAGTGCAAGCAGAACATAGACACACGGTTGCTCCAGTGCAAAGCTGCTGCTGCTGCTGCCCTCCTCCGTCGACTTCACGACCCAACTCCTCCTCCAAGCACATGCCTACTTCTTCTCGCCCAACCCCTCCCCCCCTTTCCCACCTAACCCTCTCTCCCCCTTCTCCCTACTCGACTCTACTCCCGACCGAGTAGCTTGGCCTCCGTTCATAGATCTACACGGCACCATCATCCCCCCCACTGCCGGCCCGTCCCCTCGCCAGAGTCCTAGGAACCTCACTCCGACTTCCCACCGATGGGCGCCTGCAACAGCTTTGCCTCGACCATCGTCCTACGGCGAACCGCGTCATAGCCTCCAGCACTGGCTACTTGTCGGTCGACGACACCTCTTAGAAGCGTCCTCGGCCCCCCCGACCAGTTGCCTGGCGTCCTTCCATCTCTATAAAGGCCCTCCTTTCCGCCCTTGACAGGCTCCAACCGCCTCGCACCCTTTTCGAATATTTCTCGGCTCTGCGCAAGCTGCCAGCAGAGGTCGCCACAATGGCCGACCCGTCCTCCCAGTCCCAGGCCACTGAGTCGTCCCCACACCAGGTGAGTGCCATCCCAATACTTGCCTTGAAAGTCGGCTCCGCTCACCGCTCGACAGTTGTCCTCCACCCCGGCTGCGCCGACATCGACCCCGTCCTCGACTCCTGTCCCTCATCTGCCCTCTCCCGCGCCCTTGCTCCGGCCTGCAATCCCTGGCGGGCGCAGTGGCGGAGGTCGCACACCCAGACTCGGCTTGGCAATACCTCCCTCGCCCAATGTTAAGCCCGTTGGTAATCAGCCTGCTGTGACCAGGCCGCCGCTTCCGACGCTACACCTGGCCACGCCCAAGGGCAGTCAGATTGTCCCTCACGAGCAACCTCCCAGACATCAGGGCATTCAGCCTGGCCACTCGGCTGATGGTGGCAGCGAGAGCAGTGCCGCCCATTCCAGGTCTGGTAGTTTTGGGCCCTTGGACGGCCGCACTAGCAATCCGACTTCCGCCGGCTCCCAGTACTCGGCCTTGTCGTTTGCGTCACAGTATGGCATTCCCGTGACCAGGGCCCAAGGAACTCCAGACCCGGTGTCGGCGGTGGGGTCAATGTACTCGGAGAGAAGCGAGGGCGGCGTCGCCATGGAGAGAGACGGCAGCCTGCAAGGGCTTGAGGCCTTTGATCAGCTTAGCCTGGACAAGGCGAGAAACGCCGACGTCGACGAACTGGATGATGAGGGGTGGAGAATAGCAAGTACGGAAAGGAGAATCAAGGAATTGGGCAATCTGGGCGAAGGTGCTGGAGGAGCAGTCACCAAATGCATGCTCAAGGGCGGCAAGACGGTGTTTGCATTAAAGGTAAGCAGTCGATGGGTCCAGCAGGCGGCCTGCAGAAGCTAACGTGAACGTTGCAGGTCATCACCACCAACCCTGACCCAGACGTTAAGAAGCAGATCGTTAGGGAGCTGGGGTTCAACAAGGAGTGTGCGTCGGAGCACATTTGCCGGTACTACGGAGCTTTCGTCGACTCGTCCACAGCCACCATCTCCATCGCCATGGAGTTTTGCGAGGGCGGCTCCCTGGACAGCATCTACAAAGAAGTCAAGCGTCTGGGGGGTCGAACTGGCGAAAAGGTTCTGGGCAAGATTGCCGAGGGCGTCCTCAGCGGGCTCACGTACCTCCACACGCGCCGAATCATCCACCGAGACATTAAGCCCTCCAACATCCTCCTGTGTCGAGACGGGGCTGTCAAGCTGTGCGACTTTGGCGTCTCGGGCGACTTCGGCACCAAGGGCGAGGCCAACACGTTCATCGGTACCAGCTACTACATGGCTCCGGAACGAATCACCGGCCAGTCGTATACCATCACCTCTGATGTCTGGTCCACGGGTGTAACTCTGCTTGAGGTTGCTCAGCACCGCTTCCCCTTCCCGGCCGACGGGACCGAGATGCAGCCGCGAGCTGGCTTGATTGACCTGTTGACGTACATTGTCCGTCAGCCGGTGCCCAAGCTTAAGGACGAGCCGGACATGGATGTATACTGGAGCGACAACTTCAAGTACTTCATCGAGTGCTGGTACGTGCAACAGCGCCGAAACACTCTTCTTTTGTCATGTACTGACTATTGAGACAGCTTGGAAAAACAACCCACTCGCCGAGCCAGCCCCTGGAAGATGATGGAACACCCGTGGATGGTGGACATGCGGTCGAAGCGTGTCAACATGGTCAAGTACCTATCCTACGTGTGGGGCTGGGATGAGCAACGCGCGGCTTGATCGCCATGGGAAGAGGAGGGGGCAATATTCTAATACTATGAATACACTGCGACATGACCAGCAGGGGGCTGCCTTTGCGAGTTGCGGAGCACGAAACACTGTCATCTTGGACAGGCTGACAATAGGACAGCTAGCGCTGGATGTATCGGCGAGGGCCGAGAGGAACTCGTCGCGGTATGTCTGAACAGTGTTGGGGAAAGCCAAATGATGATTACGAAAACACGTCACGGATTCGGGAAGAAAGTATTCAAATGTCAGCCTGGCTAAGCGGATAGGATACCTTGCATGGATCGAATACACGCGTCTGAGGCGTTTTTTCTCCTCTGCAAGATGGTTGATTGTCCTGCGATTTTCGCTTGACATTTGTTCACAACTGCTCCAAGAGGTGGGGACGAGATATCCCAGGCAGAGATTTATGCAAAGTAGCGACTCTCTCCATGTCCGTCTTCACCCCGCCTCCGTCTGGGCCTGGGCATCGGCGTTGGTATCGTCGGGCAGGTCGCCCATGAGTTCCCTCAGGACCACGGTCGCGTAGGCGCTGCTCCCGAGCTGGAACTTGAGCACGGCAGCAACCTTGACGTCGGCGCCGCCAGCCGGGGGAGCCTCCTTGTCCCCCTCCCCCTCTTCCTTGGCCGCCTGCTCTTTGTCGGCACGCTGGTCCGTTTTTTCGGCCACCCCAGCGTCATCCACCTTGAGCCTCTTGCTCGCGGCGCCCCCGTCGGCGGCGGCGTCGTCGTCGCCGCGCTTGCGCCTGCCACCGCTCTTCCTGGCGGCCCGGACGAGGTCCAGGTCCGTGGGGTGCATCTGCTCGACATCGTCCGAGTAGAGCCGGAAGTCGACCGAGGGCGCGGCGAGGAAGCGACTCATGAGCTTGCGATACCGGCCGGGGAGGCTGAACTCGCGTCGGAGGCGCCGCATGTTATGCGGGTCCAGGCCGCCGTTTTCCTCGCGAGCCATGAACTCTTGATAAAAGTCGCCAATCTCGTTGTCCGGGTACACGACGTCGTAGCCGGGCAACGGCAGCACGACGTCGTGGATGGTGTAGCGGCCACTCGAGGCCTCCTCCTCCGTCAGGGGCCTGGCGCGCACGCTTGGCTCGTCGCCGTCCTCGACGGGGTTGACAATGTCGTCGCCGTCCTGGTCCTGGCCACTGACGAGGGGAGCGGCCTCGGTCTCGGCAATCACGAGGTCGCCCTGGACGACCTTGTCGCCGTGGAGCTCCCACCGCCGGCTTGCGGCGTGGTTCCAGACATGAGACTGGTAGGCGTGGAGGTACATGGACCGCAGGCCCCTCGTGATATGCGTCAGCGCGCCGCCGTAGTCCTTCATCGAGCCCGTGCCCGGCTTTGTCAGGTGGCGGACAATGCACGACTCGGCCGCGAACCTGCCGGGCATGATTTTGGCCGCCTTTTCCGGGTCCTGGCCCGTCTTGAACAGCATGCAGGCGTGATGGCGCGCGTACTGATCCCTTTTGACGGCCTCGGCGGGCACCTCGCCGCTGGCCGCTCGAGAAGATATCTCTTCATCGTAGCTTAAAAGAGCCATGACGGCGTCTTCCCACTTGCCTCCGATAATCAGCTTTCCAATCTCGTGCGTCCCGATTTGGTATGTGCCGAATCGCTGGTGTCCAAAGTAGTTGATCCAGCCGCGGGAGGCCATGAGATCCAGGGCCGCCTGGACTTGTGTCTTGAGCGCCTCGAGCCTCTCGGCCGGGGTCCGCTCTGTAGGCTCGCCCACAATCTTGCAGTTTTTGATCACAATCACGAACTCGTTGCCCAGAAGCTGGCCGAGATTGATCGACTCGTCTCGGTATTCATAGTCGCCCGTCTCTATGCCCCAGAGCTTGGAGCTGCAGCCAGCCAGGGCTCGCTGCCGGACGTGCCGCACGGAGCATCGCTGGGCCGTCGATGCGCGTCGGTCTTTGGTTCCGGCGTACCCGACTGATTGAGGCTTGATGCGTAGAACACGTGCGATCTGGTTCACGGCATCCATGGTGTCGCGGTTATCCTTGTAGATTGTGAAATGAAGGTATTCACCGGTGGGTTTATCTTCCCTCAGCTCACGAGCTCCGCGGCCCCTCTTCTTACCCTTTCTCAACGACACTCTCGTGGCGAGTATGGCTCCCGATGCGTCTGTGCTGGTTTCTATCGTGGACTTGAAGATGCGGCGAACTTCGCCGTGTATCTGGGCCCGCTTGGACTTGTCATCCATGGGTTCCGACATGACTGAGGTGGTCTTTTCTCCGTCTGTGCCGCTACCGCCCTGGTAGAACTGCACCAGGTCGTTGGCGAACTTGTCACCAGCCAAGCCTGAGAGGATAGCCACGTCCTCCGGGGATACCTCCTTGGTTTGTTCCTCTTGGGCGGGCTCGACGCATTTGGTGCTCTCGGGAGTGTCTTTTTCCGTGCGAGATGCTTCGGAAGCCTGTGCGGGCGCCTCTTGCGGCGGCTGTCATGTGCATAAGCTCGTGGGACACGGCCCAAAATTCGGATCTCGTCGCTCACTTGTGCCTGTCCGTTGGCTGCTCCGATGTGGGACAGGTGAACGACTTTGCCATCCTTGCCAATCTCATTGACTTGAAAGTCGGAGAATCTGCAAATCCTTCAGTGCACTGGGCTTTGGAGTTCCAGGGCCAGCTTGCGCCTACTCACCGCACCCGTTGATCGCCGGTCCAGGCCAAAGCTAGCGGAGTGGCACGCTGCGTGATGCCGATTGAGCGCGAATGAGACGCGCCGCCGCGCACAGAGAATTGCGCCTGATCAGCCATTGCGAGGTGTCGCTACTGCACCTCCGTGAAGTAGTGCTACAGGGAGGCGGTGATGTTCAAGACGACTTGTGTGGATTTGGAAGCTCTGATGACGGCCGCGGGGCGATTTTTGCGACCGAAACCATACTGCCGGCGCTTTAGGCGATTAAGTCAATTGAAGTAGGCGGTCAGAGGCGAGAGCACTTAACAGGCAGGCGGTGAGCGGAAAGCCCCACGCCCATTTGGCTCCAGGGTAGATTGTCAACGACGCCTCAACACCATCACGCAGATGGCATACAATCCTACATGGGCTGCCATCGAAGTTGTTCCGGTTGATGGAATCCTCCCCTCTTCTTTACGAAAGTGTGATAGCATGACTTTTACACAATGATTTGTGTTGCTCAGCAACAACATTGGCTGGGCGAAAATTGATTGCTGAACTGAGCGTGTTCCTCGCTTCTGCTTCTCATCATATGCAATGCTCCAGCGGTGAAGAAGGCTCACGTTGACGGGCTGGGCCACTGCTGCCCGTTCTTGTCCATGAAGCGTTAGGCAGGCCCGGGACGACACGCTCCATTTCCCACCTTGACCCTGTCCCTCAAACCCTTAACAGCCCCTACGCATCTACCCGCATCCATATATGGCTCTTTGGCCAGCCACTCAGCCCAACTATGGAGCGTCGCACCCTGCTGTGAGCCGGCCCCAAGGACCTACGACCCCTTTGCTCGGCGTCTTGGCCGTCCCCACCCGCCACACTTGTCGCGATTCAGGCGACAGCCCAAGGGACTCTCGTTCTCGAGGCGCGTCAGCACCCTGGGGAGGCGTGGACACTTTCTCGGCTGACGGCCTGCCTCTAGCCTTGTTATCGAAACTCCACTCAGCCGGGCTGGTCAGATTCGACGACGTTTCTCGAAAGGCCTGCCTGAACGAGGAAGCCTTGCTGGAGCTTTGTGACGCCGCCCGAGCAGGTCTTGTAGAGGGCAGCACGACGGAGGCTGTTGCCGAGAAAGTGACGAGGTTTCTGCGCGCCGCCGTCAAGGACGAAAACCATGGCATGGCGACGATTGAGCTTTCAACAATCACAAATACCCGTCTAGACAAGCTCGTCGCCGACCTTCAGAGCCCAGAGAACCTTGTCGGGACAACTCTACCCCATCTCTGGCGAGACTGTGCCGCCAGCGAGAGATTGCAGCGGCAGTGGCGGGCACGATTCCGTGAGAAGTATTTTGATATTGACCAGACAAGGTATTCGAACCTGTCGAAGCAGGGACTGCTTCGACGCGTCACCTTTGACGACAGAGAAGGGAGAAACAGTGAACTGTGGCGCGCAATCGCATGTGAAGTCCTGTCAGGGGGCCAGGGCAACATGCAGTTCGAGGCAGGACAGTAAGTGAATGCCGAGTTTGCCAACAACGACGCTGTGCGCAGCTGACGCGGGTTTCAGCTAGTGGTTGAACCTGGCCTGCGCAAACAGGGACGGCATCGTGGACAGCGCTGTGGAGAAGCCGACCAAGGGGCCATACCATGTGACAGCTCTCCCTCTCCTGAGCGGGAGGGAGGACCTCTCCTCACCCGTCGGGACAGTCAAGTACGCGCGAGAGGGCCCCCTCTTTCATATGCATCTGTCTCTCCTGTCGCAGGTCGGCACCCAGATTCGGATCCTGAGGGGATATTGCCTCAGGAGCCCGCTCGCCCCCAAGGCAGGGATTCGATACGACGGCCTGTAAGACTACGACGGCGTCGTTTGGGAGAGTGTCCCGACTGACGGTCATAGCTACTACATACGCCAATACAGCCTCAAACAGAATAACCAGACGGGCCTGCACCGCGTCGTCCTGACACTCGAGCGAGTCCGGGGCCAGCGATCGTTGCAGGACATTGCAGCAATCCCTCGGCCGTCCCAGCTGGACGACTGGCAACTCTTTGAGAAGTACGAGGGGGAGATGATTCGGCAGAAGCGAGGCGACCAAGGCTTCCTGGAGTGGAAAACGGCCAAGGCAGAGGAGAGAATCAACCTCGAGCAGTGGAGGAGGACGCTTGAGCTGAGGGCAGAGCTCAAGTGTGGGTGGGACTGAGTCGAAGTGGCGCATCGTTGCTGTCACAGACCGAGGTCTAGGACGGCGTCTCAGATGCCGGGAAGTGAAGAAGAAATTGTGTATAAAGGAGAAGAAAATCCAAAGTAAATTCGCGATACCGCCGAGGGGTCTGCTGCCCCCTGGCTTCACGATGGACTCCTGGGCAATATGCATTTACAAGGTGGCAGTTTTAGTCACATACTCCCAAGGCGGGGCAGTTTGAGCTGGAAAAAAGAGGAACCTCTGGCCCACCAACCCAGCTTCCTCTTCTCAGCCCGCCACGAAACATCGCGCGCTCGACTGAAGATGGGCAAAAACGACAAGAAAGGCGGCGACAAGGCGGCGAGCAAGGGCAAAGGCAGCAGCGACAAGGAAGCGGGCGGCGGCGGCAAAGCCAAAGGCGCGCAGTCCATCAACGTCCGCCACATCTTGGTATGCAGCCACAGCGCTCGGCAAGCAGCCTTCTGACTCGAGACGCAGTGCGAGAAGCACGCCAAAAAGGAAGAGGCCCTGGCCAAGCTCAACGAGGGCGTCAAGTTTGACGAGGTGGCCCGCAACTACTCCGAGGACAAGGCCAGGCAAGGTGATACCCCCAGAACCACCTCCCTCCCCAGTCGCGAACAGATATTGACTCTTATTCTTGCAGGAGGCTCGCTGGGGTGGAAGAGCAAGGGCAGCCTGGACCCCAAGTTTGAGGAGGCTGCCTTTGCGCTGGAGCCGAGCACGACCAGCAGTCCCAAGTTTGCCGAGGTCAAGACGGGCTTCGGCTATCACATCATCATGGTGGGTTGGTGGTCCGGCGAACACTCTGGCGACGGAGGACTAACAATCGCTTCGCCAAGGTCGAGGGGCGCAAATAGTGCCGGCAATTCACGGGTTACGCTCATCGATGCCGTAGTTTGGTCATGCCTTTTTTGTTCTTTTGTCTTTTTCCCCTTCATGCAGCATTGGCTCGAGGCCTGAACCCATCCAAATGCTAACCGAGGTGGCACGGGCATAGCCGCCGCCGAGTCGTTCCCAGCGGTTTTGCAAGCCCAACCCCGCGCCTCTATGCCCTTCAAAGCAGCTCCGAGCCCGCACGCATTTTACTGCGAAGTCTGGAAGTAGTTGAGCAGGATAGACCGCTCCTGCGACTCCTCACCCCAGTCCTTGACCACGACACAGGAGCAGTTGACCACCTTGCGGGCATTGCCCTCGCGGTCGAGAACACCTATACACATTTTGTAAGCACACTGGATGCCGTTGGCCTCGGCGCCGGGGATTCACGTACAGAGACCGGCCCACTCGCCGAGCTGCTTGCCGTCCTGGACCTTGATGAGGGGGATCTTGTGCTCATCGCACAGCGCGACGACCAGTTTCTTGTAGGCCTCCTCCTCGCAGTTCTCGTTGAGGACGCACATGTGGGCCTGGCGACGGTCGAGGGCCTTGGAAGCCTCGCGCAGACCGCGGGCAAGGCCGTCGTGCATGAGGGCGTGCTTCAGGACGCCCTTCAGAGCATCCAGGACGGACATCTGGCCCTTGGGGGCGTCGGCGGAAACCTCGACCTCATCGGCCGCGACCTCGGGGGCGTTGTTCTCTTCTACGTCCGACTTTTGGGCGATACCATGTTAGCGCTTTTTTCCCGCTTTCTCGCAGCGTCCGCTGTCGTTGCAAGCGCCGCGTCTCGATGCAATGCACTTGTAGAGTACAGGTTCCGGGGCAGTCGATGGAGGCGAGGCTCACCATTTTGAAAATTTACTTTGTCGGGCGATCCTCGAAGATGATGTGTTGCAATGAAGGGAAAAGAGCTGAAGGAGTGTTTGGTGTGTGTCGAGAAAGGCACGAAAGGTGTCTGGGTTGGAGGGTCACGAGGATTTGCCGAAATCCACGCTCCAGTGCGCGCACATCCGTTAGGGCATTTTTGTGTGCACGGACCACAAGGGCACAACAAATTCCCCACATCTGCGCTTCACCGAATGTGTGCGCCCGCGATTTTTTCTCTTGCCTGTCAGCATCGGTTACAATCCTTCTCTTCTCTTGACAACACCCAAGACACGGACCGTGCCGGAAACCTGCGAGGTATGTGGAAGCTTTCACGCTGCTGACCAGCGCCCCGAGTCTCCAGGACGATGCCTCTTGTCGTGGCGGGAGAGAGCAATCCCGAGCGCCGCCTCGCACCACCCGGGCTGGCGGACGCTCCCGATACGCTTCTCTCCTTCAGCAATGGGCGGCAGAACCCTCGTCGAGGGCACTCTCCTCGCTCATGGCCGCGTGAGGCTAACCCCGAGTTCGATGGCAGATACCTCATTTCCACCCTGACTTGAGAATCTCCAACCCGACAAGCCGCCAAAATGGTCCGCACTTCGGTTCTCCACGATGCCCTCAACTCCATCAACAACGCCGAGAAGGCCGGCAAGCGCCAGGTCATGATCCGACCCAGCTCCAAGGTCATTGTCAAGTTCCTCCAGGTCATGCAGCGTCACGGTACGTCTTGCCTGCATTTTTCTCTTGTCCCGTTCCTCGGCATGATAACTAGGGCGACGGCCGACTCTGCACCACGGCCCAGCCCCTATAAGTTGCCGATAGATTCAATTTCGCGGTGGTCTTAAACCTGTTGTCGTTCAGACTGCCAATGTGTCAACTCGTCGAGTCCGTCGCTACATTGCTAACAAGCGCTTTGCAGGCTACATTGGCGAGTTCGAGGAGGTCGACGACCACCGATCGGGCAAGATCGTTGTCCAGCTCAACGGCCGCCTCAACAAGACGGGTGTCATCTCTCCCCGCTACAATGTCCGCCTGGCCGACCTCGAGAAGTGGGTTGTCAAGCTGCTGCCCGCCCGTCAATTCGGCTACGTCATCCTGACCACGTCGGCCGGCATCATGGACCACGAGGAGGCTCGCCGGAAGCACGTCGCTGGCAAGATCATTGGCTTCTTCTATTAGACGAAGGAATGGATGTAAAAGCTGCGGCATTGTCGGCGTTCCGGGGTGGTGATAAGGACTGTGGCCGAGAGCATCAGCAGTCTTTGGGATAGTAGCACAGCCGGGCACCATGAATGTGATTGCCACGCTCGCGCCGCCCGTGGGGCAAACAACGGTCCGCATTGATGTGATTTGATGCCGCGATGTGACATACCTTGACTTGAGCAAATCATGTCGTGGATAGCTGAAGCAGGGGCTGGTTCGTGCCCCGGCGAGTGTAGCGTGCTCAGGTATGCTTGAAACTACCATTTCGCTGCCAGATTGGGGGACTGTTTCCAGCTAGACGTTGGCTCCCACTCGAGGACAAATTGTTCCCCCGTTCCGAACCGGGGGTATTCGAAGCATCGCGAAGTAGCAGCATGAAGCTTCGCCCTCGACAAAGTGATGCGACGTCTTGTATCACAAGGCTTCAAAAGTACCGTCAGTCCGTCTTGACCATTACCTTAGTCAAGTTACTTTACGTATCTCGAAAGTAATACCCACTCCTACAGCACTGACGTTGGTGGATGTTTTGGCGGCTAAAAGCCCGATCGGTAACCGCCAGCGGGGCAGCTCTAACTGGAAACATCCGCCAACAACGTAAGGGAGGTACGGAGTACTTCGTACGGAGTACTTTGTACAGTACACACTAAAATGGTCGCTCTCGCGCCGCTTGCAGCCCGTCCAATAATCGCCAAGCTTCGAAACCATGAGGCGACTTTTGACATGAGACATCGCGCACCCTTCTCGCCATCTTTTTTCCCGTTGTTAGCTTTGGGGCCGCTGAAGCTGGAAGCCAGCCTATCGCTGCCGCAAGCCTCTCTGTTGCGTCTGGTGTGCCGCCATCACTGGCTCTCGTCCATATGATGCGACAGCGACAGTGCATCATCCTCAGCGCCATCGTATTCTTGTCCTTCTGCATCTACTCCATCCTCCGGCTGCCACACGATGGCACCAGGCGGGTGACGGACCCGGGGCTGGCGCAGAAAGCACCGCTTGCCGACGCGCAGGGGCCACGGCCAGAGAGATGGGACGAAGCACCGAGACCAAAGGGCGGCCCCAAGCCCAAGCAGGCTCCGGATACCACCTCGCATCCGATATGGCACCTCGTCAGCGAAGCGCAGCGCGAGCTGGAGCAGGTCGAGACGCGGCAGTCCAAGGAGCTCGACGACGCCGTCACCGAGTATCGCAGGCGATACGGCATGCCTCCGCCGCCCCATTTCGACAAGTGGTTCGAGTTTGCGCGGCGAAACAAGGTGCAGCTCATCGATGAGTTCGACACCATCCACGACCTCCTGACGCCCTTTTGGGGGCTGAAGCCGAGCACGATTCGCTCGAGGGTCAGAGAGGCCCTGGGCGGCGACAACATGCTACTGGGCCTCGCCATCCGCGACCACAAGGTGTTGCATGCGCAGGGGGGCCCTGAATGGCAGCGCAGTGCCACAGAAGGCATGATGGCCAAGTTCCTCGAGTACTTGCCCGACATGGACCTGGCCTTCAACATCCACGACGAGCCGAGGGTCATGGTCCCCCACGACGACCTGACGAGGCTTGTGCACAAGGCCAGGAGCGAGAAGATGCCGGCCTCCAATGCCAACCAAAGCCCTACCAACGACTTTACGCCACGAGCGCCCGATCTAAACGATGGCAAATCCTTCGTCGAGACCAAGCTGACGCGGTTCAATACCTTTTCTCACCAGCCGACCTGGACCCATTCGCGCATGTCCTGCCCGCCCGACAGCCCGGCCAGGATACTCGAGGAAGACGAGCGAACCGACGACCTGAGCAAGTACGGCCTCGGCCAACTCGGCTTCGTATACAACACGACGGCCATGTCGGACATTTGCCTCTCCCCGTCCCTCAGCGCGTCGTTTGGCTTCTTCGACCGCCCCAACGCCTACAGCGTCGTCCACGACCTCGTCCCCATCTTCTCGCAGTCCAAGGTCTCGTCCTACAACGACATCATCTACCCCTCGCCCTGGTACTGGCACATGAAGGTGGCCTACGACGAGGACAAGGACAGGCCCTGGGCGGACAAGCACGAAAAGCTTTACTGGCGGGGCTCCACCACGGGAGGCTTCAGCCGCAGCGGAGGCTGGAGGAGGCAGCACCGCCAGCACCTTGTCCAGAAGATCAACGCCGGCGACCAGGCGCTCATCATGGAGAACGTCGGAGGCGCCGCGGACCCCCGGTGGGAAGCCAAGCAAGTCCCCCGCGGCGACTACCGCAAGTTCATCGACGTCTACTTTTCGCACGTCGGCCAGTGCGACCCGGGCGACTGCGATGCGCAGGCGCAGTTCTTCGACATCAAGGACCACGCCAAGCAGCACGACGCGTGGGCGTACAAGTACCTCCTCGACGTCGACGGCAACGCCTTTTCCGGGCGCTTCTACGCTTTCTTGCAGAGCAGGAGCCTGACGTTCAAGCTCGCCGTCTTCCGCGAGTGGCACGGCGAGTGGCTCAAGCCCTGGGCGCACTACGTGCCGCTCAGCCTGCAGGGCGACGACTGGCTCGAGGCCGTCCGCTTCTTCAGCGACGGCAGCCTCTCCAATGGCGAGGCCGAGAAGATGGCCGTGGCCAGCCGCGACTGGGCCAACAAGGTGGTGCGCAAGGAGGACATGGAGGCATGGCTCTTTCGGCTACTGCTAGAGTGAGTTGAACTAATCCTCCCATCTCCCTTTCGGTTGGAATAGACGCTCACTATGCTTTGAATTCAGATATGCGCGAGTGATTGACGATGAGCGAGAGATTATCGGCTTCGACCCGTCCAGCGCGGACAAGAAGCTCAAATGATCAGTTCCCTACCGGCGAGGGCTACGTGTGCGCGTGTGTGCCTTTTTCAGGCCGGGAGGCATGGCCTTGGAGTTTGGCGGGTATACAGCAACGTACCCGGGCGTGATATTTTGAGAAGATGGTGATATCTTTTAGTAGAAATAATACCCTTGCGCCTCGGGCCGCACACGCCCATTTTTCCAGATATGATGCCCCTCAAATTGCACATGCTCACATGTACCACCAGCACGGGCAAGCGCATCTCTTTGGCGCGCCTACTCGTCGTCATCGTCGTCGCCCTCGGCGTCCCGATCTTCTTCCGGTGTCTTGGCGTCAGGCTTGTCAGCGTCACTGCCGCGGCGGTGGCCCTCCACCACGCCTTCGGCGTTGACATCGGCGTCTACATCGTCGTCTGCATCTGCGTCTGCGTCTGCGTCTGCATCGACATCGGCATCGGCATCGGCGTCAGCATCGGCGTCGGCGTCGGCGTCGGCAATCTGCTCCGCCTCCGGCTGCTGCTCGTCGCCGCCCTGATCCCAGCCGAGCGGCTTCTCCCTGTAGTTCTTGATGGCGTCGCGCATGTCCTCTGTGGGCTCTTCGACGGTAATGTCCAGCTGGTCGACAATCTGCTCGTCGCCGTCCTGGGAGAAGCCGTTTGTGCGGGCAATGTTCTTTGTGCGCTGGGGCCGGATGGCGGACCGCTGCATGATGGGGTAGTAGTAGAGGGCCTTTTGCTTGGGGTACGAGTCGTCGTCGTTGTAGGCGAGGATGATTTCGTCTTCGTACTTGGTCGGGTGGTCGAGCTCCGTCTCCTGCGCCGTCTCGTAGGTCCGGACCCGGTTGAACTGAAAGTAGCCGGCGGCGCCCGACCCGTGCGTGTACAGCTCGTCGCTCTCGTGCTCGGGATCCTCGACGTCGAACTTGCGGCGGAACCTGTTGGCGACGGCCACGCTCTGGGGCATGTAAAAGTCGTAGTTCATCAGGTTCGGGGGCTTGGGGTTGTTGAGGGGGTCCCTCTCGTGGGCCTCGAGCGCCGCCTCGTACAGGGCCTCTTCGCCGGGGGTCCGGTCGAGGGGGCGGAAGAGGCCGCTGAGGAGGCGGCTGTCGTACTCGCGCGAGCTCGAGACGGGGTTGGTGAGGAACTTGATGGTCACGTAGGCGCCCGAGTCGGGGAACGCGTCGAGGTCGGGGAGGAGCGGCACGGCTTCGACGAGCTTGAGGTGTTTCTTAGAGGGATGCTTGACCCGCTTGGCGTCCTTGAGGTCCTGCTCCGCCACCTCGAAGCTGCGGTCGATTTTGCGTTTGATGGCCTGGGGAGAGTCGTCGTGGGCGTCCGGGGCGGGCCGCTTTGGCTTCCGGGCGCGCACCAGCAGGCCGCGAGCATTGCCTCCCTCGGGCCGCTTGGGCGTGCTGGACGAGATGTATTCTGTGCGGCGGAGGAAGGAGACGTTTGCCTCGGCGACCTTGGGTTTGCCGAGTGCGGCCAAGGGCCTGAGGAGAGGCCGATCGTGAGGATGGACGAGGGGCGGCTGCGCGGGGGCCTGGATTGCTAGAGAAGGAGGGGGGATTGTTGGTCTTCTTGTCCACGCAGTCTAATTGCAGCTGAGAGGCGGTAACTCACATCGTTCGTCGCCGTCAAAGACGCCCGGCATGCCGACAAGGTTGAGCGGCATGCCCAGCTCGGCATCGGCCTCGACATTGAGTGGCTGCTCCCTAGCCAAGCGGGAGGCGAACCCAGGCGTCGTGTACTGCCCGCTGGCGAGGCCCGTGTTGGGAATGTCGAGCAGCTTGGGCAGGATGGGCGGCGGCGGCAAGGCGTTGGAAAAGCGGATGCGCGCAATGTAGTCCTGATGAACCATGCGCTCGCCGGAGCGCGCCCCCGAGGACGACATTTTCTTCTTCTCTGGTCTGATTTCGACTCGGGGATTCGGCGGCGGGGCGGCACGTCGCTTCGGGTCGAGCACGCTGCGTGCGTTGTGCCGTCGCTCTGCTTGCCTGGGCGGGATGAAGGCGTTGGTGAAGGGGAGAAGGAGAAAGCTATTAGAGGCTGATGCGCCCAAGGGCAGCTTCGGGAGGAAAGGCGCAAGGCGGCACGGGCGCCGACGAGCTACAGCACCAGCGCTGCGGCCCCACTAGCGACCCACCGGACCCCTGCTGCGTCAATGAGAATAATAGCGACGTGTTCACTGGGGGTTGAAGGTATTTACTGTACAGCAAAACTGTCAATGGCTATCAGATTTGCGTGCCTCGCTGAATCTCGAACATCTCCTCTCCATTGTGCCTATCCGTTTCCTCCTCTTTCGCACTCCAGGGGAGGTTGGGGAGCAGTAAAGAAGTAAAAAGCACTTCATTGACGATCGAGAAGGATCCTCCAACGTACCGTACCCATTGCCTGGTCTAACAACGTCGCCTTTATTATCCGCTACAGCCCGTTCCACGATCATCTCTGACCCGACAGACTGCATTTGATGGTACATGCTTTTTTCTCTTCGTCGCACGTGGCATCGCCCGTCAGCCACGGCCGCGCCGGAAACGCCGCGTTTCCGCACATGCGGGCCCTCGAGTCATCTGGCATACGTGTCGCCGCGCGGGGGGCGTCAAAAGCAGCCTCGCCCAAACGCCTCGTCCAATCCAAAGCTAGCCCGCTCACAAGCTGTTCTTGTTGTAGTTCTTCTTGCCCATGGTAAAGGGGACGTAGCGGTACTTGACCATGTGCTGGATCTGCTTGCGCACTGCAGAAAAAAGGAGTCGCGTTAGCCCAGCAAGCCATAATTCCGGCCGCCTCGAGACTCACTTGTCAAGAAGAAAAGAATCATCCAGTACATGACGAGGACGGGCCAGAAGACGGGGATGTTGAAGATTTCGAAAAAGGTGCAGAAGAAGGAGATGGTAACGGCCCTCGTCGCCCAGTACCAAAACTTGAACTCGGGCAGGCGCCGGATAAAGGGCTTGAACTCCTCGTCCGACTTGGTCGGGAGGGTGCCCACGGCGCCGTCCTCCATCTCATTGTCGAGGGCATCGTTGGAGGGGTCGAACTTGGGCTGGAGGAAGGCGAGGAAGAGGTTGAGCAGGTAGATGCCCAGAGCGTAGGCGACTGTACGCGGCGTCAGCCAGAAATGCCCGCGCGTGCACGAGCAGGCATATGCGCCGACGCACCAATGTACCAGCCCTGCGCAAACAGGATGCGCAGGAAAAAGAGGAAGAGGGCGACGCCAGTGCTGACCCATCGGTAGAGGACAAAGGGCGTGGACTGGTCGAGGAGAGCTTGGTAATGCTGTGTGGTCTTGTCAGCGTCCGTCTGCCACGACAAGAGACGGCCCTCGTACTCTCTGAAGCTTGGAGGTGTGGGCAGTGACGCTGGCAAAGGGCGTCTGATCGGGCTCGGGCGCATCCATCCTGGCTTCCCCTCTAGAATTATTTTCCCTTGAACCAAGAAGAGAAAGAAGTATCGATAAAGCGCGGGCGAGAGAACGACAGTGAGAGAAGGGAATAAATGACACCGAGGGCGCGTTGCAGTAGGAATCAGCGGCCGCGATAAAAAAAAATCGTTTCCGTCGCCTTCGTTGAACCGAGTTGAGTTGTACAAGTTGGCCGCTCGCAGAGGAAAACAGGGTCTGGTCTGGCTCGCGGCTCTCTTGTCTCGCGGGCCATGTCGAACTACTGTAATAAGGTGGTGTGGGGCAGATTCTGCCGGATATTTACCGCTAGGGGCTGTCGAATCGGATTATGTCAGCCAACTAGCTCCTCATCAATTACGCCAGGGCGTCGCGGTGCGATGAGCTTGAGCTGCTGAGCGGGCACTCGCCAACCCTACAAGTGCCACGATATTAGGTCAATATTGAAGGTTCAGTCAAGCCCAAGGCATGATGCCATGCGACGGGAAACCTACCTCTTCGCGGTACTCAAGTTCGGGGCATTCTTCCTGCCAGACCTGCTAGGCTGCTAGCAATTATTCGAACTTTGTGTGTCTCCAAGCAGACCGGTCTAGTAGCAAATCCCTCCAAACGCATTAAGAGACAGAGAGCTGACCATTTTGTTTTGAATAGTCTTCGCCGTCTCACACGAGGCGTCCGTCCACCTTTACATTCCGACGGCTTTGCATGCGAGACCAAGTCACCTCCTCGGCCATGTTTAACATCACATCACGTCTTTCCTATCGTCCGTTAGCCAAAGACCGCCATAGTCCTCGAGGCTTAGGTCGTCGTGCAGCCGCCACGCCGCCACGCCGCCACGTCTCCATCGCCTCATCACCGTTCGTCATCACTGTCAGCCTCCACGGGCACGTCCTCGACAGGCCGAAACTGAACGACCATGTCCGCCATGAGTGCCTTCCGATCGCTGCCGATGACGGGCATCGAATTACACTCCTCCATCCAACCACGACTCGGCACCTCCATCATCGGAAGAATCTTGCCCGTTTGCATGTTCTCAAAATTGAACGATAGCCGACGCTCCATCTTGCCGCCACAGTTTTGCAGCCTCACAAAGGGTCCTGACACGATTCTCATACAATCGTTAACCCTGTGTTTGAAAAGACTGTAGTAGCGGAACTCGTACGACACGACCGAACACGCCTTCCACGTGTCGTAGTCGACCAAGTCTAGAATCCGGCCATATAGCTCCGGAGGGAGAAGACCTGCCGACCTGGATGCTGCACGGCGACTCGCAGCGACGTCGAAGAAGTTGACGAGTGCCGCGAGTCCGGGGAATTGACGCCGTAGTCTCCGTGCGGTCCCTGTGCAGTTGGATTGCATGATAACCTCCCCGCGCTCATGCTGGATTTCCATTCCAGGTTTCAACCCTGGGCGCTCACGTGGGTGCGTGCTTACACAATATTCGGCTTGTAGAGGCGAGAGGCGGACAGCATGACTGACTTTGAGGAGTGGTCCCTTGGTTGCACCCACGGACGACACCTCCACAAATGCCACTTTGAAGAGCGACAAGACGACTATCTGAAAGTCGGTGCGTCCCTGCTCGATGCCCCAACTGACGGCCTTGGTGACTGCTTGCCCATCAATCACTAGCGTAAGACTGACGAGCACACTTTGGTGCCAGTATATGGTCTCGGTGGGCGACGCTCCCGGAAGCCCGCCCGGCCGATGAGCGATGGAACCAAATTCCATCAATGGAGCACCATCGCCAGCCCATTCTTGATCAAGCCATCCAGATTTTGGAAGGTGCTTCACTGTGCAATCATAGTAGCGACAATGACGAGGGTGGCATCGCTGTGCGGGAAAAGAATGGAACTTGGCCTGGCCCGAGGCAATTGAGACGAGAGCAAAGGTCAGCTCGCGGAAAGGGAACGAGTCTGGGCTCCACTCTCTCCCAAATCGAATCATATCATTCTTGTATTCGATGAGCACCCCCGCGAGAAGGCGTGTAGCGAAGACCTTGGGCGCCTCTTTGATATCCATTCTTGGCGTCACCGTGTGAAAAGAATAGCCAATCTCTTGATTCTTTTCGGGCAGCTCCAAGGCCAGGGACCCCATATGCTCTTGTGGACAAAGGTCGAGAGAGATGGTGGGCTTATCCTGGTAGATGCTGTCCTCAATCGAGCGGAGCCACAAGTCGTCCTGGCGTGGGATGTTCCCCAGCTTCCAATGTATGCTGAAGTTCATGGTTAGAACCTCGTGGTCGAGATTGATGATGTAGAAGTATTCGGCATCAATGCGATCCAGCCGTGGCAACTCTGAAGGGAGCGTCGCGAACTTGTGAAACTGAGAGTTGCCTGGCCCAGAGCTGCCACACATCTCGTAGGCCTGTTCGACGACACGTTCCCTGGCCGCATACATGTCTCGCACAGACTCGAGCCATTCTGAAAGCCGTCAGCTCCATGCCACAACACGTAGGCCGTTGTTCAATGGCATACTCCGATACTCGTCCGGGTCGGCGGGAATGCTAGCGACGATTTCGGCGCCGAGACCCTGGAAGTAGCCATCGTACGGGTAGTGACGAATGTAGTACCGCCTGCGGAAGCGCACAATCTTCAGGGCACGAGTTCCCATTGCGAGAGGATTCGCTTGATCGATGGCCTTGTCGATGAAGCGAGACGACTGAAGTCATTGCTTAGGTGAAAAGAAGCAAGCAAACATTCTCCAGCCCCACCCATCTAACTAACAATGCACCTCGTTAATCGCATACTCGTCAGAACGGCGCCAATTGGGAACTTAACATCGTGTAACCTATAATTACTGTAGGTGCGCGCATCGCTTTTGGACCCCTTTGGCCGTGGAGGAGGAGCAATGAAGTCACTGGGCCCACAGTGCGTAGCTACGCATGGCCAAGTGGGTTAATGCTGCAACGTTAAGGAGGCACAGAATCCGGCAAGGTTCTGCGCGGCGGCATGTATCGGCGAGGCTATCGATACTTATTTTACAGTGAAATTTGGTGGAAGGCGAAAGTACCGAGAATCGTGTGATATTGTAGTTGGATGATCCCTGCAAACAACCTCCCCCACTGCCAGGGGGATACCGGTATTAGTGCAACGGTGATTTTATGGGTTTCGGTCTTTCATTCATTCATTAGCAGCCGTTTTCAGCAGAGGCTACGGCCTCCTTCCGTCTGACAAAGCTACTGCATTAGTGACTGCAAATGCCATTTAAGTCACAGAAGGACCAAGGGAGGGGCTTACACCTGCCATTCTCAAGGGCGGTGCCATCGATGCGGCCTATCAGGACATTGATCCACGGTCCCATTGTATTATCAATGCCACTATTGAATCACTGATGCGTATATCACGACTTGAAGTTGACGCAAAATAGCCGAAGCAGACATCCCGGTTCTGGCTCTGGCAGAAGGAGTGAGGTCAGATGTGACGCCAGACGGAAACGTTTTATTCGACTTTGGCCCAGCCGCGAACGGGCGGGCAATCCCGCGGCGTTTCCTGACGGAAATTAACATCTCTGAGCATTGGCCAAGAGCCGCGTCCGAAACGCGAGACGGTCTGACTTGGTGCAATCGCAATCTCGTCGCGGAAAGAGGGCGCTTATCTACAAGATCCGTGCTCCTGTGGTTCTTGGCCAACAAATGCCGAAGCAGCCTGGTTCGGTTAGAAAGCCCCAGCAATCATGATGATGATTTATTATAGCCATCAACATAGTCATGCTGAACTGCTTAAGAGTACTATCTTCTTTCATTTACTCTGTACTCGGATTGAAGAGGATTCAAAATCTTATCCAGCCGGTACCACGGAGGCCAACAGTAGCAAGGAGCCGAAATGAAGAAGGGGAGTCGCCCCTGGCACGTACGCCTTGCAGCCAACCGGGTGGGGCTTGCAGGTGGACGAGATGGAGGAGAGGAATTGTAAGGCTTATTAAGTCAGTCCCTCCGGCCGGGATAAGCTCAGTCAATCAAGCTGACGTGTTGCGGGGGACCGACATGAGGGAACAAGTCCAACTGGACCATGTCCACCAACCCCCCCTGCTTGCCCGGTTTCCCAATCGAGGTCAACAAGCCCCAACATCGCTACGATAACTGACAGAAACTCGAAACGTCGGCGTTAACAATGGTCAAAGCTCGGCGAGTCTTGAGCGCAGCCGCCGTTCTGCAACCCGTGGTTAATGGAGCGATAGCTGGACATGAGCAGAAGCCACTCGGCTCTGCGCAACCCGGCGATAAAGGTCTAAAGAGGGAGAACCCGTATACAGCGGATTATGATGCCCTGGCCAGCAAAATATTGGACCAATGGCATGTGCCGGGCATGTCCATCGCCGTGGTCGACGGCGACGACATCTTTGCCAAGGTAGGTCTAGTCATCCACTAATCTCTCGTTTAGCAAGTCGTCTGATAATGCCAGGCCTTCGGATTTGCCACTCTTCCGGATACGCCAGCGACGCCCGAGACGCTCTACTATGTTGGTTCGACAACCATGGCCCATACTGCCGCCGTACTTGCGCAGCTCATCGACGCCAAGGCTTACCCGGAACCATCTCGTGGCTGGACGACCCCAATCTCTTCAATTCTCCGTGACGACTTTGTTTTGCACGACGAATAGGCAACTGGTCACATCACCCTTGACGATGCCGCCAGCCATCGAACCGGCATAGCTGGCCACGACAATTCCTAGCATCGCGAGATCAATGGAACGCAAGCCACTATTAAGGATATCGTTCGTAACCTCCGAAACCTGCCCCTTAGCGTAGAACCTCGAACCGAGTGGCACTACTATAACTATATATACGTTACGCTGTCGCATGATGTCGAATCCCTAACGGGACGATGGCTTAGGGACGTTATGAAGGATCTTATCTAGAAACCTCTGGGCATAAACTCGACCTATATAAACGTATAAGACGCAAAACACTCCCCGGCTCCCCTCGCGTTAAGCTACGCGTGGCGAGAAAAGGAGCAAAAATATAAAGAGCTGCCCTTCTTAGAGGTCGAAGAAATTAGCGGCGCCGGCGGCATTATTTCTAACGTCCTCGACTACGCGCAATAGCTAAAATATCTTATCTACGAGATATAGCCATTTTTAAAGACTATTTATAGAGATATTAGGACGCCCCGGTTCTTTTAAAGCGCCTAGCCTAGTCTCGGCACCGACGTGGGCCTATACGGTCTGGCCTAGACACGAACTATAATCTATGGCCAAGTGGTGTATTGGCACCCTGGGTCTACTCTTACCTTCGGCGCTCTTGTTTACTGGCTTCTAGATGTCAAGTTTGGCATTATTGCGCTCGCAAATGGGGCCGGGACGTCGAATTAAGCGGAACTTATGCTTGTAAGAAGGCTGCTCGAGGACAAGTTACGAATCCCGCTTCACGATCGACTTAATGTAAACGAAAAGTATGTTTTTAGCCCGATTATCTTCACGCTCCTCTAATAACCAGGAGACGTTTAGACTAAAGGAGCGCGCGCGAGATATGCAGCGCGACATCGAAAGGGCAGACGACATCCTCTTCCCCGATAGACCGAAACAACCGTCCACCTTCGATAAAGCCCGGCCAACTAACCGGCGCGTATTTCAACCCAGGATACGGAGCGATTAAGCCACTCTCTGCCAATTCTAACGAGACCGTTCTAGTTGCCAATCGAACCTCCGCCCCCTTAATAATCAGGCCAACAACTTTAAGCATACCAAGCACTATTAAATAATACTCTTAGACGGGAAGTGCAACATATATAGTTTTAGCTAAATTTATAACTTATAGGTAGGGTGAATGTATATGTCGGATATTAGACGAAATCGTAGTCTTAAATCTAAGATAGGCAGTTCTAGATAGGCGATGCGAGACACCGTAGAGCTAGAATTTCGCGGACGGAGAATATTCGGAATAGTTAGGATATAAAACTAATATATACAATTGCTTAAGTCGAATACAACAAAGTACAGCACATTTACCAAGCTCGTTATTCCCAAGCTTTCGAACCGCAAGGGCGCTTACCAGCTTTCACGCGAATAGTGCATCTCGATCACAAATAAATTAAGAGTCTTACTATTTCCATAGACATATTTCTCTATTTATATAGAATTTCTTAAAATCCTCTCTTTTAATTAGTGGCTAGATCCGCTTAGTAATTAATACTCGACCTCGTGTATTTTTTGAGTCTCTTAAAAGTCGCGATCTTGCACGTCGCACTCACCTCGCGCGGGGGATAAACCCCCATAGTAGGGCTCCTCCCCAAGGGGGACCCCCTACTAGCTCGGGTGCTCGGGTGCGCTTATTCGTAATCGAGGCCTTCTTAGTAGGTACCTAGGTAAGGGAGGTAGCTAGGGGAATAGGCAGTACCTTAAAGTGACTTTAAGGTACTTTAAGTTTAGGTGCTCTATATAACTCTATATAAATAGAGAATTTTGTCTATGCAAATAGTAAGACTCTAAATTAATAGAAGAGGGCTTAACGTAAGTGTCATTAAGTAGTATTTATTTCCCCTCCCGTTTAGTATATAGGCCCAAGACGTTAGTTCGGTTTTTAGGCCGCCTCCCTAGAGGACTGTGGAAATGGGGCTCATCTGGACTCCTCATCTCACTTTCCATAGTACGAAGTATAGCTGTCCGATATGATGAGCAACAGACCTTCGTGTTCAAGGAAAAGGCAAAGTTGAGGACACCATGATAAGCTCATATACTGCTTAAGAATCACCAAAGTCGGAAGACATTCATCCCTCAGGGCACCATCATTCCGATGATACCACAACGGGCCTAACCGTAAGGATTATCTGGACCATAAAAGAACTTGGCTAACGTACAGCCCAAAATCTTACGGCATGCGGCCTAAGTTTCCCATTATGTATGTAAGAACGCAGCCTTGTCCTCGCGGTTTGCAGCATTGCTACGTCGTGCTGACCAACGGCGTCGAGGGCGCCTGCATGGCTCCTTTGCATTCGGTCCAAGCTGCTGTCGCCTCTCATATGGTATTGACTCTGCCAACTGGGATTCGGAGCAAAATTAAAATACTGGTTTACCCCTCGGAAAGCTATGGTTCCAAACTTCTAAAAGGATACACCCTAGGTCACTGGCCATTCATCCTTGTTGGCCGACTTGCTATCTAGCTATGACATATTGGACACCCATCAAGATGCCCCGAAAGAACATGCCTTTAGACTTGCGTTTCGCCGTAGTCTTTGAGCACGGGCAGTCAAGCTCCAACCCCGCCTCGAATGACGCCGAAAACGGGCACCGCATAAAATACGAAGAACAGCAAAGGGTTTCTTTCTGACGACGACAGCGATACTTAACCGGACCTCTTCAACGGCCGTCAATAAGAGGCAAATCATCGATATTCTATAACTGGCTATCAGCGAGGGCCATAGTGACGACGCTAGTCGTGGCCCTGACCATCTCCGTGCTTGTAGCCAGTGCTACGGTCTTGAGACGCCATTCCCAGACGTCAGCTGCCGCAATAACCGGGGCCGCGTAGGGTAAGCCGTTCGATCGGAAGCCGAAATACATGATGAAGTCGCCATGCGGATCAACGGCAGCAGAGGCTCTTGAGCGAGGCTGTAAATTTGACATTACATCGTTTTGCTGGCTCCACGAAGAATGCTACGACGCCAAGCTCTCGGAGGGTTTTGATGGCATCGTGATCTGGGAGCGGTTCAGGGGCCCCAACATGACACAGCCTCACTCGCACGAGCAGATCATGACGGAAGAACACACGGACTTGTACGTCAACTGGGAGTACCACGTCCGGCATTGCATCGCTATGTGGCAAAAGATGCATCGAGCGATCCTTGGCAAGGGAAAGGCGGCAATCGATAGCTATATTGACGAGTTCCATTATACGCACCACTGCAACCAGCTGCTTTCAACCCGTGGCGCTGCGTTTGACAACATGAACACCATCATGGCGGTCAAATTTCCTGATTATAGAATGGAATAGGCTTTGGAAGTACTTACGCATCTTCAGGCAAACACACGAGGCGTGTTGTTGTATGGAAACAGTCAAGGCGGGCTAAGAAAATATCAGAATAAGAAGCGTAATGTTGTATCACGTAGGGAAAGCTGTAGAAATCGCAGAATAACAAGTAATACGACAACTCTGACATGCCAGATATCCAAAGCAGATGTGCCTCTCCATCCTGTGTTCTTGTTTTCTCCTTTACTCACGACCGGTTGTATTGACATACAGAGTCAAACGAGGCATGCCAAGTCAAGCCGCATCGTTGACAGTCGATTGCTGTAAGCACCAGGCCGAGATGGTTCTATTGAAAATTTTTACAACAAAATCATATTTGCACCCTGTTCTACAGCATACGGCTACAGTCGCATGAGAAATTCCGACTACATGTAGTTGATGCGCCTCATCGCGACCCCTCACCATTCGAACACTATTGAAGCATGTGGCTTGTAACAGGCCCGCTAATCAATTTTCGGAAATGAGCAGTCAATTGTTGGTTGTCGGCTTGCATTATTGGAGCTTCTCCTCACGCCCTCGAGCGTCTAATGTCTGGCCGCGGTTGGTCGAAGAGGGGTTCCTCAACCCCTCTCCCTGGGGCCACATTCGCCTAGCTCTGATCTCCTGCAGCGATGAATACCACCTTCAACAGTACATGCAGAGAGAAGAGCGTGCGTCTGATGACATGATGCAATTGGTATATAATCCTCGCTGCTGACGCTCATGTGGTCGCGGCACCTTAACGACAGCAAGCAGCAACAAACTATCGGCTTTTTGTACGTCTTCTCTAGTTCTTAAGCTACTCTTCGCCATGCCATCATCTAGAGCAGATCAACGGCAAAAACCCATGACATTTGAGGTCATGGAGATGGGTAAATGCCCCGCTCCCAAGGATCCAGTATCACGTAAACGACCCAGACTGATATTGCCTCTGACCAGCCTTAGGTCTATTAAACGACGAAATTGCCAAAAGCGAACTGCTCGTGAGTGTCGCACCAATCAGGCTAATCACAATTGGAGGATCCTTGGCTGTCCGCTTGTGCAAGAACCGGCCAACTTCTTACGACATCGACTGCATCCTTTCCCCCAATGTGGCAACTGCAGCCGATTATGCGAAGGAACTTTACAATGCGGTTACTAATGTAGCTGAGAAGGGTTACTTTGAAAAAGATTGGCTCAACAGAGACCTAGAGATCTTTGTTCGCAGAGATAGGCGCGCGACCCTATTCCTCGAGTCCTTGCAGCAGGATATCCCCATATATAAGGGAAGCAACCTTGAGATATACGCGGGCGCCCTTCACTGGGCGCTGGAACGTAAAATACGTCGCGTCGCACACGCCCTTGATCGTCGAGGTGGCAAGGATGTCGACGTCCCCGACGCCGCCGCACTTATCCGGCAAATAGGCGCGCCAATCAGTGCTGACTATATCCGGAATCTCAATTTCAATGGGTTTGACCCAAAGCCTACAGATGCCGCTATCAAGGAGGTTGCAGATTATTACGCGCATAAATACGGAGAGGTGGGCATCACGGGCATCTGATAGTTCGAAGTGGCTCTAATTGTCTGGCCTTGATTGGGAAGTGGTTTTTTTCAACCTTAGCGGCCAGTAAGTGCGAGATGCCAGAGCTGCTATAAGCATCTACGAGTTCGCCAGAAGTACGCCTCTTAACGCAGCATGCACATTCCAGAGGCATGCTCAGCAACGAATATAGGCAATGGATATTTTGATCCATGTATTCAGTTTGGTAGGTGACGCAACTGGCGAAGTTGTTTATAGTAGTAGCTTTAGGTTGCTTCTCTTGTCACTGCCGCCAGTTATCACACCGTGTAAAAGTGGCCTGTTGCCATATAAACATTGCGCCGATGAAATGGGCTATCAAAGTAGGCATGCTCATCTGGGTGTATTAATAGTTGCTCCTCGAGAGGTAGCACGTTAGCCGTCCAAGATGGGTAGGTTTCGGGAACCATAGGCAGAGGGTCAATATATCGGTTTGTAAAAAGCTCGTCATTCCGGCGGAGGCCAAGCTCTAATCGCCAATTAAATGAATTGACTAATGCCTCAGCCAAGGACGCCATAACAGCGTACTGCTCTCGGTCTTCGCATTCCGGGTCCGGAATATTAGAGGTTGCCCAGCGTGGTGACGAGCGGTGCCAGAAATACTCGGTCTCATAGGTAATCATGTGTCCGTCGGCAGCGCATAGAGCTTCATAGAGACGATAAAATGCCCGCTGCGGCGTGTCGCGAGCCCGCCATAATGGCAAGGAGCGGAGGGCCATGAGGTCGCGGACTTGGCAACTAATATCGTCGGGGGCGGCCATAATGTCCCGCGGTGGCGGCGGGAGAGTGGATTTAAAATACCAGCTAGGAAAAGGCCAGAGGAGACGGGCGACAAAGAGGAAAGGATTTAGATGCGGCGGTTGCTTAAACGAATGAGCATAGCGGAACGAATGGCGGAGGCCGAGACCAGTCTTGGTAGGCAGGAGGCGGCGCCTAAACTTGATAAGAGGCCAGCGGTACTTAAGAGGTAGGTAGCGGAAGTTCCACAAATAGAGCAATATTTCTCTCGGCCGTCCCATTGTCGCGGGGCGAAGATGAAGTTTGCGGAGGGCGTCATTAATGGCCCGACGTCTCGGCACGTGTAGTTACTAGCTAGTAGCCTAACACGTGACGTGACGCATTAGTCATTAGCTGACAATGTGTCACGACCCAACGAGGGTCTCAAGACCCAACAAGGGTCCCAGTGGCATAGACCAATGTGTAGCTATTGAAGGTTGGGCTCACGCCTAAATCCCTAGAAGCGGCGATAATGCTATCGCCGTAAGTCAGCCCACCTAAAGTCCGGCACACCCTAACACCGGCACTCTCTATAACACCATCGCGTCGTTAAATACATTACATTGCAACCGCGTTTTCTCGTACATCTCTTGCCCTATAATTATAAAATAAATACTATTTATATTAGCAATGCCTCGGCTTTCTAAGTATACCGAAAACCAGCTCTAAGAAGCACTCGAAGCTATTAAAAACGGGATGCCTTAGCTTTATACTAGTCGAAAGTAGGGTATTCTAAGAGGGACCCTCTATATACGTCTTAAAGGGGCTCTGCCTATTAAGGAGGTAAAAGAGGTATATTAGAGGCTTAGCCGAGAGCAGGAAAAACACCTTACCGACTAGGTTCTTGCTTAGGCCGCCCTTAGGCTGCCTCTAACGTATTATTAGGTTAAGGAATTTACCGGCCGTATCGTTAAGGCTAGCGGCGATACCCGTCCGCTTAGGAAGTAGTAGATTTCGGGCTTTTTAGCCTAGAACCTAGAGATTAGTACTATTAAAGGTAGATCTCTCGATTCTCCTTACGTTAACGGCGCCTCTATAGCCTATATTAAGGAATAGTTCTAATTGCTTAAGCTGCTAGCTATATAGGTAATCCTACTAAAGTCCCGCTTTAATATAGACGAAATAGGCATCCTCGAGGGCCTTAGCTTTAATAGTCTAGTACTAGGGAGCTTAAAGAAGCGAGAGACTCTTAAAAAGTAGCTAGGATTGCGTTATTAGACTATAATAGTCGAATACGTCTCTACTATAGGCTAGGCCTTAACTTTACTTATAATTTTTAAGGGTTAAGACCTTTAATACTAATAGTTCCCTAACGAACTTAATTTTCTATAAGATTAGGACTTTATTACCTCCTTAAAGGGCTAGATAAGTAATACTATCGCTATTTAGTAGCTAAAGTAGGTTTTTATCCCTTAAATAAGGTACTATAAGTAGGGCAATACTTATTATTAATAGCTATAGGAGTTATTAGACTAATAATTATATATATAAATACTTTTAGAATAGTATATATCTCCTTTTCCTACTATTATACTCCTTATTATTATAAAGTAAGTAAAAGCGTAAGCGTAAGTGCCGTCTATAGGATAATATTAATAAGCTATATAGAGCTCTCCTATACGCAGCTAGCCTATATATATATATATATAGGATCTAGCCCTCCGTATATAACTATACGGCTTAGGCTATAGGCTAAGCCTATAACCTATAATAGTTAAAGACTCTTATATAATGCCCTCCTTTAAGCGCGGCGCGGCGTTACTTAATTAATAGCTTCCGTACTATTAAGCCTATGCCGCTAGCTCTACCCTGCCCTTTCCTATTAATCGTGCTAGCCCTACTAGCCCTATTATCCCCGCGCCTATTAGCCTAGGCAGCCGGAACTAGGCTCTATACTTATCGGCCGGCTAGCCGTTTAAATAGGGGCGCGACTTATTATATACGCTCCTAGGTAGCTAGCGGCCGGCCTAGACCTATGTAAGCCTTAGGTTACCTATCCCCTTAGCCTTAGGCAGCCTCCTCTACCTAAGGGTATATAAGGCGGCATCCCCCCTTTCCTCCTTCTTTTCCTTCTCCTCCTTCTATCGCGAAGCGTGGCCTAATTTCATAGTTCTTAGAGATATCCCTTAGTATAAGGGACCTAGGAAGCTAAAAAACAGGTTTTAAGGAAGGAGCTAAAAGGAGGTGTAGAGAGGAGGGTAGGGGCAAGAGGGGAAGTAGAAGTAGCGATAGCTTCCTATAGAGGTAGCGAGAGATAAGATAGATATGCCGGCAACGGCTAGAAAGGAGGGGAAAAACCGGTAAAAAGCTCGGTAGTCGAAAGGATATTAATAGCTTCTTTAAGTAGGATCTTCTTTATTAATTAAGATACTAAATAGATATAAAGAGGGGCGTTAGATAGAGGAAAGAAGGATAATAAAGGCAATATAATAATTACTCCCCTACCTTTATTGCTGCTCCCGCGAGAATTAAATCTCTCTGCCCTGCCTATCCGACCCCTTACTTTTAATTTTACCTTTATATATTTTATATATACTTCTCGTATCTCTCTTCGCGAGAGTTATAAGCCTAGGGGGAATAGAATTCCTATACCTTCCGGCTGCTATAAAAGGCACCTTTCTTATATCTCTCGTAGCTTCCTTTTACCCC